AAAGCTGAATCTTATGTGGAAGCATCCTGGTATAGTGTAGATTCTTAATTGTTCAAATCATGACCCCCAGGGGAAGGGCAGGGCCACAATGGGGTATCAAAGTTTTACATAGGAAAAATCTTTGAAAATTTTCTTCTCAAGAACCACTTGGCCAGAAAAAGTGAAGCTTATGTGGAAGCATTCTAGGGTAGTGTAAATTCTAAATTGTAGGAATCATGACCCCCGGAGGAAGGGCGGGGCCATTATAGGGAATCAAAGTTTTACATAGAAATATATAGGAAAAATCTTTGAAAATCTTCTTTCAGGAACCACTGGGCCTAAAAAGCTGAAGCATATGTGCCCATGGAAGGATCATGGGGTAGTGTAGATTTCAAAATGTCTAAATTATGATCAGTGGGGTAGGGTGGGGATGCATTATGTATAACAAGGGTGAAATCTGGTAAAGAACAGAATGGTCAAAGCTTCTCAGGTGAGCGATGTGGCCCATGGGCCTCTTGTTTTTATTTTTTTTAGCAAGGATGGCAAAATTATGAAATTCATAGCCTGGTGGATGAAGGATTTTGGTATTTAAGAACAGGCCCTGTTGAAAATTTACACTATATACATGTACTTGAAGGCACTGAACACAAAATAATCCCTTTAACCGCCCCTGCCCCTGTAAGCGCCCCCTTAGGTCTTTTTCAATTGTCAGGAAATAAGGGCTCCCAGTACAGTGATTAAAATCAACTAGAATTGTTTCCAAAAATTGAAGAAAGTGAAAATGAAACTATAATGTCTTAATTATCCAATTTCTCAATTGAAAATGAATAATTGAGCATAATTTGGGTGGATTATCTTCACTTTAAGTAAAGTTAGAGATTATTTTAGTGGTTCCTTTTATTTATTTATTTTTTTTCAAAAGTTTTTTTGAAGTTAAAATATGACATTATTATAAATATTATAAAGAGAATACCAAAATAACCGCCCCCTTTTTTGCAATTTTCTAAGTCCCCGGGGCAATTAGTAGGGATTATACGGTAAACTAGGTGAATAGCAAAGGGGGATAATTTCTCTAAAATACATTGTATATTAAAACCTTATAATCTGTTTGCCTCTTAAATGAACAGCAGTAGATATTCAAGGAATACAGATTCAACATAAGTATAACGGTAAATGCATAGATTCAACATAGCCTCACCCTTACATCAGAAACACTGACCCAAGGGCCATGATATCCATAATTCTTAAAGAAGGCACATTTATGCCCTTTAGCTTATCTGCTAAACACCCAGGTGCAGAAAGATTTTGAAAGAATGCATTTTAACTGATGAATCAAAATAGTTCTATCCTTACTTCAGAGTCCCCAACTCTGGGGCCAAGAAACACCTTCTTTTTGAAGAAGTGCCTACAGCATCATAATCATGCATCTATGTTTGGATTCTGAACATCCCATGTTAGATATAGGTCACTTTTATAATAAATTTGTTTGCCCTCTCCCAACTTGGATAAAAAATTGCGGTTGGTAGGTAGATGAGAATATATATATATATATAAAACTCCTGAAGATTGGAAATGAAACCGGTTGAGTTTATTTCGGTGTTGTGATTTTTTATTATATATATATATATATATATATATTTCGGTGTTGTGATTTTTTATTATATATATATATATATATATATATATATATATATATATATATATATATATATTGTTTTTTTACAAAATTTCAATTTCACACAATGTCAAATTTTCGAAATACCAGACGGAGTATATTTTCCTTACCATAAAACATAAATCAACTGCTTCCTTAAGGTTAAAAAAGTTTTGAGTTGGGCGATTTTTATAGCCAGTTGATTTGGAGAGGGCAACCAAACTATTTTACAAAGATGGCCTTCGATTGTTTTTGGTTGAGCCTTTTTTCTCAGGAACTATATACGAGTAGTTACTATAAATTAAACAAGAGGCTCATGGGCCACATCGCTCACCTGAGTAACTTGGGTGATGCAGATCTTTTTAAAAGATTTGTTCTATATATATTTCTATGTAAAACTTGGATTCCCCATTGCGGCCCCGCCCTACCCCCGGGGGTCATGATTTTAACAATTTAATATCTACACTACCCAAGGATGCTTCCACTTAAGTTTCAGCTTTCCTGGCCAAGTGGTTCTTGAGAAGAAGATTTTTAAAAGATTTGTTCTATATATTTCTATGTAAAACTTGGATTCCCTATTGTGGCCCCGCCTACCCCCGGGGGTCATGATTTTTACAATTTAATATCTACACTACCCAAGGATGCTTCCACATAAGTTTCAGCTTTTCTGGCCCAGTGGTTCTTGAGAAGAAGATTTTTAAAGATTTGTTCTATATATTTCTATGTAAAACTTGGATTCCCTATTGTGGCCCAGCCCTACCCCCGGGGGTCATGATTTTAACAATTTAATATCTACACTACCCAAGGATGCTTCCACTTAAGTTTCAGCTTTCCTGGCCAAGTGGTTCTTGAGAAGAAGATTTTTAAAGATTTGTTCTATATATTTCTATGTAAAATTTGGATTCCCTATTGTGGCCCCGCCTACCCCCGGGGGTCATGATTTTAACAATTTAATATCTACACTACCCAAGGATGCTCCCTCATAAGTTTCAGCTTTCCTGGCCCAGTGGTTCTTGAGAAGAAGATTTTTAAAGATTTATTCTATATATTTCTAGGTTAAACTTGGATTCCCTATTGTGGCCCCGCCCTACCCCCGGGGGTCATGATTTTAACAATTTAATATCTACACTACCCCAGGATGCTTCCACATAAATTTCAGCTTTTCTGGCCCAGTGGTTCTTGAGAAGAAGATTTTTTAATGACCCCACCCTACTGTAAATCACTTTTTATTCGCGAGAACTTTATTTTCGCGTAATTACGCGAGACAGTGTGCTCACGAAAATTTAATTCTCGCGTATAATAGTATTCCTTAAGATTATATAGAGCAATGACCACAATTCGTGAAAATTTTGTCTCGCTAATCAAGAGTCAATGACTATCTCGCGAAAATAAGGTGTCGCGAAAATTTTGTGATCTACAGTATTTTCGTATTTTCTTGATTATCTCCCCTTGGAAGGGGTCTTGGCCCTTGATTTTAACAATTTTAATTCCCCTTCACCCAAGGATGCTTTGTACCAAGTTTGGTTAAAATTGGCCCAGTGGTTCTTGAGAAGAAGTTGAAAATGTGAAAAGTTTACAGACGGACGGACGGACGACGGACACCGGGTGATCAGAAAAGCTCACTTGAGCTTTCAGCTCAGGTGAGCTAAAAATAGAACCAAAACAAGGCTTCAAAATTCCAATTTGTTTATTTTTACCCCCTGTAAAATTGGAAAAGTCTTTTCATGACTCTTTGATATCTTTAACTTTTATACTCCTTTTTTCAAGAGTCATTTTCAATACTGCATGAACAGAATGTAACAAAAATAAAACGAAAAATACAAACTGAAATCCTGTACAATAAAAGCTAATTTTATGGCTTTTTTGTTAAACTTTATTAGCACTTCAGTTTGGTTTTCTGTGAAACACAAATTTTGATATAAACCATGAACACAAATGACAAATAAAACACAGTCACAACATCCATAATAATGAATAATAATGACAAGTTTATCATGATTCTCTATTATTTTTTTTAAAGAATGCTTCAAAGTTCAGTTTTTTTTTTTAGTAATTAGTCGGCAAACAATTTTTCAGATGTTGTTGATGGTCAGCTCTTTAGAATGATTCATGGATCAGATTTTCAAGATTATTCAGTGGTCAGTTTTAAGAATGTCCTGGAGTTCAGTTTTTGAGAATGTTGGGGAGATCTGGTAACTTAATGTCTTTTATTTTCTGTGGAAGGTTCATGTCCTTCATTGCTGACACAGCCCTAGCTGGAGCAGCTGTTATACCAGCCTAAAAATAGAAATGATGCAATCATTTAAAAGCAGCTTTAAAAAATGTACATGAAGATAAAAATTTACACTTTTTTTCTTTCGAACAAAACAATTTTACAAACTGTTGTATTAAACTTAACCTTTGAATATCTAATATAGCAATAGTTAAGAACTTTTTTGGTATTGCATATTTTTCGTGGAATTGTTCATGTTTTATATGTATGTGATAACAAGCAGTTGAATTATGCCAAAAGCAGAAAGGAAGGCAAATCTTCTAATACCTAATTTGTTAGAGAAACAAGTGAAAAATACTCCAAACACTGTCAACCACAAAACCTTTGTAGTGTATCAAAGCTGAGTTGCGAAAGTCTATCTTTAATTAGTTTTCAATTCCATTGTTAGACCAAAACGAAAGCATTTCTGAGACATTTTGATTGAGAAGACAATTTTGAAGGAAAATGTTAAAACAAAATCTCAAACCTTATAAAATCCATCATTACTAAAGTAGATGGGGAAAAAGAGAATTTTGAACCATGTATTTACAACAATGGCATTGAAAAACAAGACACACAACAAATATTTAGTCAAAACTTGGCATTTTAAAGTCATGGTGACTAAGCAATGCTTCTGAGAAAGATAAAACTCCATTTTATATAAAAACAAGTTTCAGTCAAAAAAAGCAAATCAGCCATAATGCTCACCCGAAACACCTCCCTCTTCTTGATAAATGAACATGTTAATTTTGTACATACATGTGAAGAGTTCACAGAATGGTCTTTAATATGTATAAATTTAATCTCTCTTAATACCAAGCCCCCCCCCCCCCCCCCCCAAAAAAAAAATTGAAAAATTTATTCATCCATTTAATCCACACATAACAGGCAGACTCTTTTTATCATAACTCTGCCCTTGAACCTTATGAGTTAGGTGGACTGAAGAGAACAATAATACTCCCTTACGTGGATAGTGATTATTAAGTACAACGATCTTTACCTCTGATTTCTCCAGTTTACTCTGTTCCTCTATTCTGGTGAGAATTTCTGACATGTTGGTTTCTAGGACCATGCCCCCCATCACCAGCTCTGATAGAATGTTATGTACCTGTGATCATTAATGGAAAAAAAATATTCATTTCATGTGTTTCTTTAAAACAATTAAAAATCCTGCATGCAATAACAGAGGTTCTGAATAAATAGCCCATGTGTCATTCAGAGAAAAATATATAATATAAAAAAACACACTTCTGCCCTTTTCCCTGAATTACTGAATTTTTTGTAAGTCCAAGGGGCATAACTCTATCCAAAATGGCCAGATCGTACCCAAAACCAAGCTTTACCTAGATATTTTTATGATAAATCTGTGTATCAAATATCATTTCAATATGCTAAAAGATATAAAACAGATCACCAACACTTCGTAAGAATGCAGCAGTAAATTTATTTGGTTGATCGGTTTCGACCAGAGGCGGTCGTCATCTGAACCAGGTTGGTCAACCAAATAAATTTACTGCTGCATTCTTACGAAGTGTTGGTGATCTGTTTTATATCTTTTAGTTTATAACTTAGGTACTTAGAGCCCCTTGAATACCTTTTGGTATCCACACGTGAGAATCTTCCGCAATTCGAACCTCAGGGTGTTGGTCTCCAGTTTTTATTGTTTTGTATCATTTCAATATGTTCAACCTTTGTGAAGAAAAAGAATGGAAACTGATGGAGGACATCAGAGAGCTGCAGAGAAATATGCCCTCCCTACTTCAAAGTACCTTAACCACTGACATCAATGTTTCAAGACATTCTTTATAATTGATCAACATAAAATCATAGTGCTATTGGAGCTCAGAGATTTTCAAAGAAAAAGTCTGCATGTAATACCAGAGGTAACGAATAATGCTTGAATTATCATTCCACTTTATATTTGGATTCACAAGATAAATCAATTTTCTTAAAAATTGTCCCAAACTTCACATCCAATTATAATTATTCTTGTATCAAATGTGCAGTCAATTTTTTCCAGAACTGATTTTTTTTATCAATTAATTATTATGTTTAATGCATATATATGGTACACAGGCACCAAATTCGCTTGAATTTTTGACCCCCTAGTATATTATAAAGAGTATAATACTAGGGGGTCAAAAATTAAAGCGAGTTTGGTGCAAAACTCACTTGAATTTTTGACCCCCTAGTATATCATAAAGAGTATAATACTAAGGGGTCAAAAATTATAATACTAGGGGGTCAAAAATTAAAGCGAGTTTGGTGCCAAACTCACTTGAATTTTTGACCTCCTAGTATATCATAAAGAGTATAATACTAAGGGGTCAAAAATTATAATACTAGGGGGTCAAAAATTATAATACTAGGGGGTCAAAAATTATAATACTAAGGGGTCAAAAATTATAATACTAGGGGGTCAAAAATTAAAGCGAGTTGGTACCTGTGGTATGGTACATAAATGCACGCTAAGTCACATGACTTTTAGCTTATCAGCTATACTGCTTTATACTAAGCAGGTGATGGATACATGTAATGATCAGATTAAACTGATTTTATTCTTCAAGTTGATAGCCACCCGTGTGGGGCAGTAATTAGAGCACTGCTCTAGAGCCGCGAAGTAAGGAGTCAATCCTTGCGTTGCGGGTTAGAATCCCACTGTGGGAAGTGGCGACCGGTCCTTTGGATGAGACCATATAAATCGAGGCCTTGTGTCGCAGTAGGTGCTGGCATGAAAAAGATCCCTCACTGCTCAAAGGCCCTGAGTGCCGAGCATAGGACAAAATTTGTAGCCCTCCACCGGCAAGTGGTGGCGTCTCCATATGAGTGAAAAATTCTCGAGGGGGACGTTAAACAATATTAATCAATCAATCAAGTTGATAGTTTTATATTGACTTGGTTACCTTGTCCACATGAAAAATGAGATCCAGCTCACAGACATTTTCAAAACACTTGTCTAGCGTTTCCACAAACACCTGTAGAAGAGAAAAAAATTAAATTAATTTACAACAACACTACAGTTACCCTACCAAATATATACTAATAAAAAAAATTTGTGTTGAATCTACAGTTGAACTCCGATATCTCAAACACCATGGATATGTCGAAGTGATTTGGAAGTCCCAACCATATATTCTTTAAGTATTTAACCTTCGATTTGAATTATCGTGCTTCTTGAAGTTTTTTCTCAGTCCCATCAGGTTCAAGGTAATGCAGTTTGACTATAATTTCATTGATAATTGCTTACAATAAAAATATTCAATTTTAATTTAATTGCCGACAAATATTTCTGCTTTCAAAGTACATTGTATAAAAGTAAATATAATATTATCACACCAATACCACTTGAATATACATGTATAACGAAATACACATTCTAAAAGTTTCCACCAAGCAGATTTGACTGACCTGTATCAGGTCTAGAATTCCTAGCTCACTCTCTGATGAATCCACACAGAAAACAAAGAACAAGGTAGCATAATGTCTGTAGATGATTTTGTAGTCTGAGCCCCCTATTAATCTGTAAATAAATAAGAATATAATATATATTACTGTAAATCACTTTTTATTTGCGAGAACTTTATTTTCTCGTAATTACGCGAGATGGTATGCTCGCAAAAATTTCATTCTCGCGTGTAATAGAATTTCTTAAATTCATATAGTGCAAAGACCACAATTTGTGAAAATTTTGTCTCGCTAATAAAGAGTCAATGACTATCTCGCAAAAATAAGGTGTGGCGAAAATTAAGTGATCTACAGTAATACTTTTACAAAGCTGAAAAATTTGACATGGTAAAAATAGATAGCACATCATTAGAATAGTTGATTTTTGATAATTTAAATGTGAGAGTGTAATTTAAAATTATTTGCTTTGGTTTCCACTTTTGAAAGAACTTCTCACAGTTGAGATTAGGTGATCAATTAACAAGAAAGCCTTATCACAGATGTAATAGGATGAGGCAGCTGTCCAGGACTATGCATAGCAATGATTTAATATTAATATTTTTGTAAAATCTAAAACAAATTTACACCTAAGGCTATGAAATTATTAAAATAAAGGTACAGAATAATTCAACATGTTTAAGCACATTATGAGGATTTTCACTTGAAAGAAGAGAGAAATAAAGAGATTCCTTTGAAATGACATGATTCCTCCCTCTAGGAAATTGCACACGTTGTCGTCCCGTTTAGACACCAGATGAAACGTTTCACGGACAATTTGCTGCTGAACGTCTTCTGGCTGTAAACAAGAAATTCAGAAAGTCTTTAAGTAACATAAATCATTTAACTGTATCCATTGTTCAGTCAAAATAAACATTTTTAACTATCCGAATGACAATTTAATTACTCTGGACCTGTTTAACCATACACAATGCTGATTTCAGTTTTTGCTCATCAATGTCATGATGAGTATAAAACATGACATCTTCACTAGCTAAGACTGAATACACTTGTCTAGTTAAGATGAAGACAAGATAAACCCTGGTTATCCAATGCTGAGAGGACAGTTAACCCGCTAATTATTGGTCGCAAGATTAGTTGATATATTTGTTTATAGTTGTGCTAGAAATTGCTGAAGGGGATAATTTCTGGGGGAAAAAAGAAACAAAAAGTGAATGTAACCTTGGTGTTTTATATTCTAGCTATTAATACAAAATTAGAACATTTCTTTTTCAAATTGACATTTAGCACTTAATTATTTTGTCTAGTAGAAAACTCTGAGTTTTTTGAATAAGGGTCTATAATTATTAAACGCTGGGAACAGCCCTCACCCTTTCCGAAATTTTGGTGTAGCGGACAGTATATAGGAAACTTATACTGCCTCACTAGAGAGCTAGCTTTTCTGGTGATGCAGAAGAGTCTCCTACTATTCCAGGCAGAAAATTAAGCAACGGAGGGCCTGTTTAACTCTTGGATGGTTGACTGCTAAATGCTTTCACATTACAAAATTGGTTGCAGCATAGCGACTCTGATATTTTACTAGATAGAACATTCTATCCTTAAAATGTTATTGTCCTAATAGTAACTCATATTCATTGCATTTACTATGAATAATCTAGAGAATTCTGAATGTAAACATGGCAGATAAATCTGAAGTGAGAAAAAAACATTGAGAAAATTAGTTGAATTTTGGTATTTTCATGGATTTTTTTTTTTTGGATAAATGGCATACACAATCTCAAAAAGGTATGTTTTGATTAATTTGGTAGTTATTTTCAGTGCAATCCCTTTTGTATTCTTCAAAATCGTTTCGGTGCAGATTTGCTCCAGTTTGCTACATTGCAAGTACATGTATATGGGACGTATTCTAGGGAACATTGGTGAGGGCTTGTCGTGATACCATGGATACGGAGACCTAAATACCGGTCTTTAGGTACATATTATAAAGTCCAGAAATTACCATTCATTTATTTGTTCAATCTTTCAAATTACAATTACAGAAAGTATAAAAAATGTTGTAAAAATTTTAATTGAAAAGAACGGCATCTTACCGTCCAAACATAATGATTTTATATACATAAGAATTTCAAGAAAGTAAAATTTTGTTTTTCTAGCATATTTTTTAGAAAATTATAAGGATCGACTTTTCATATAAAATCATTGTAAAAACTGCTTTTAAAAATATCATGATATTATTGTGGGAAAAAATTGTGATATATTTTTAATAATTATATGTTAAAAAAGAATAATTTTTGGCGATACCCATCCCTAACGTATTCTAACATTGGTGAGGGCTTGTCCCGATGAAGTACCATCCCAATTTGTCCTTAGGATTTTGTCTCTAAGACTTTGTCCTTAGGATTTTGTGTCCTTTTAAAGATTTTGTGTCTGAGGACGGCAGAAGTTGCTCTGACAGAAGAGGTTCCAGGTTTATTTCAGGAAGCTCTAGGATTAGGACTTTGTGTCCATTGCTGAAGACATCACTCCATGCAGACACTCAGGGAGAACTCAAGCTAATTATAATCTCTCTACAAACCCTCACCACAGTTAAAATATGTCCCATATACATGTACTTGCAATGTAGGAAATCGGAGCGGATTCACTCCGAAATGATTTTGAAGAATATAAGAGGATTTGCACTGAAAATTACGAAATTAATCAAAGCTAACCTTTTTGAGATTGCAAATGCCTTTTATCCTTAAAAATAATCCATATAAAGACGAAAATCCAATTAATTTTCTCAACGTTTTTCTCTGTCTTCAAATTTACCTGCCATGTTTACATTCGGAACTCTCTGGATTGTTTGAAGTTCATGCACTGAGTACGACTTATCGTCCCTGTTTCTTTTGCTACATTACGAATAGATCTACATGGAACAAATTCTCCCGAAGCAATGCTCGTCATTGTGAGCTTTTAAAGCAACGCCGTAGGACAATATCATTTTAACAATAGAATGCTGCATATGATCTATCTAGAATCAACGCAATTGCTTCGCCTTGATTTAATGCATATACATTGAAGATAATAGAAAAGTGTAGGGTATAAGTGTAGCGTAATGTGACAGTTAATAGGACACACCAAATGTATAGTGCCTCAAAACAATAGAGAACTAGCTTTTTAAGTGATGCAGTAGTTAGAGTCTCTCTCTCTATTTCAGGCAAGTTAAGTAATGGCGAGCCTGTTAAATCCTTGGATGGGTGACAGCTTCACATTACACTTGGCTCAAGCTCTAGGAGTTTACTGTAAAGTGTAACATCATAAACAGACTGCAAAACGACATTAGAAACTTGTCAGGAGTTGTGCAATATATTATCTAATTTTAAACTGCGCTCGCCCTTACAGTTTCACCGTTGGACAATATTTTTTCTTCTCTAAAAATGTCATTTCACTAAATCTTGATGCCGAAACTTACGAAATATTGGTAAAACTTGGAGAGCCTGGGCTTTCCATGATTATTGAATACGAGGATGGCCTTAATCATGGTTGTGTGTGTTCTTTCAGCTCATTTTACAGCCTCTTAATAAATATTTCATTGAAAAACTTGGTAAAGAAGGGGAGTTGACGTTGTGACCGGAAGTGAAACAGAAGCTCTAAATAATCTCGGTCAACGGAACGGTTTTATATTTTATAATGCACAAAACGGTTACGGTATACAATTTTTTTCCCCGTAAAAAGAAAAATGGTCCATCTCCATAATTCTATTGTTGTTAAAATTAAAATTGCTCTTAAATTAAGAACCCTCTGTACACTGCACACTGAAAAGTTCTGATTCAATGGTATTTTCAGTGGCGTATCCAGAAGTTCATGTGTGGGGGGGGGGGGGGGTTTGAGGCCCAAGGGGCCAAAGGGGGAGGGCATGGGGGGGGGTGCCCCCCTCCCATCGGTGGGGGTTCGGGGGGCCTCCCCCTAGAAAATTTTGTTTTAGAGATGGTTGCATTTTCCAGCATTTTGGGGGTACTTTTTGTAGCTTTTTTATAGACCGATCATCACAAATTTTTAATAAATGCTTTAAATTTAATTAAACTTTAACGCAAGGCTTTAGACTTTGCTTTCAAAAATTGTTAAATCTGACAATTTTAGGAATACAAGAAGTTGACTTCAAGTTGTCTTTACTTTAAATGAATCTACAATATTAATTTAGTCATATATCAAGCTGTACAACTAATGTGCAAAATTTTTAAACACTAAAAAACTTTAAAATTGAATTCTTTTCAGAATCACTAACTAGTGATTTTCAACCTACTAGAGTATATACTGTCAATATGATTTGGAATATAAACACATACACGTGTACAATAAATGGAATTTCAAACTGACGAAAAAAATTACAAAAACTGGAGAATCTGTCAAAACTAGAGGGGTCTGCTAAGCCAACCTGGTTTTGTAAAAAAAATTTTATATTAATTAATTTAATTTTAAAACGGTAAAAAAAAACCCTGAATAATAGTTTATAATATTCATACACTAGACAAAATTGCTAACGCACCACCTAATGAAAATAATATTTTACTTTTCAAAACTTTGTTAAGATGTATATGATATTGTATTCTGTTACAAAATTAAAAAATTCATTTAAATATCTTATTTGATAAATTTACAAAACTGAAGTGTGACCATTTCAAAGAAAACGTGAAAATCGTGTTCATACTAATTTGGAGTGATAAATTTCTAATTTTTTCTTTGCATTTTTGTTTTTTATGTTTGTACTTATTAGAAAATCAGAAAAAAAATTATACAGTATGCTGCATTTGATCTCAGGTGAGCGTGATAAAACAGACCGTTTGGTGTCTGCAGGGGGTACCCTTGGAAAGATATGTAAAAAATTAAAAATGTTAAATTCACAAGGAAGAATTATCAGTGGTGCGTTAGCAATTTTGTCTAGTGTAGTTTAAAAACATGCATTTTATCAGCAAAAGAATAGTACTGAGCAGCACCGTAACTATGCAGTTTTCTGTTGTTGGTACCTAACGACATTGTACTGTGCATGATCTTGTGACTTCACTAGATGCACAGACTACCCGATCTCTGAGGCACTCTCTCTGTTGATTACCTGTGTATTGTGTATTGTGTGCGTTCAAGCGTAAGGTGATTTTCTGTTACGTAGCTGTATATTTTACAGTTATACAGAAGGTACAGAACAAAGAGTTTATGTTTATTAAAGTCTAATCAATGCAACAAAATGATAAAATAACACTTGTGTAAAAAAAAAATCAATGAGTGGGGGGTTTTTCCCGAACACCCCCCCCCCCCTCCAAACCCCCTGGATCCGCCATAATGTTGATTTTTTCTGCATAGTGACATTCATCTTCCCTTGGATCATATAATTCCATTAAATAGAGTTCACAGTATAATTATGGATATTTCTCATTTTGTAATCAATCGAAGTATTTTGAACATGTATTCAATATAATTTTCTCAGAGACCCCCCCCCCCCCCCCAAAAAAAAAAAAAAAAAAAACACAACATTTTGAACTGGTGTACAGAGGGTCCTGGTCCTGGTCCTTAACAATAAACAATAAAAAAAAAGAGTATAATTTTTAAAAAAAAAGTCATTTTAGCATATAGGTAACAGTCAAGGTCACAAGGTCATTGACCTTGGTATGATTTGAAAAAAAAAACTTAATAAGTAGAGCATGCACACAAAATATAAAGTATCTATCTCTCATTGTTCAAAAGTTATGGTAAAGGTTGAAAAAAAAAGATATTTTTAGCATATAGGTCACAGTCAAGGTCACAAAGTCATTGATCTGTATGTCATTTGTGGATTATGCATACCAAATATGAAGTCTCTATCTTTCAAGGTTCGATTTCAAAAGTTATGGCGAAGGTTAAAGTTTGCAGACAAACACGCTATTTTTATCATATAAGTCAAGGTCACAAGGTCAATGACCGTGGTATCATTTGCAAAAGTTTAATTAGTGGAGTATGCAAACCAAATATAAAGTCTCTATCTTTTATGGTTCAAAAGTTATGACGAAGGTTAAAGTTTGCAGACAAATTAACAGATAAATAGACAAACAGACGGGACAAAAACAATTAATCTATCGAACCGGGCGCATAAGTAGAGTATGCATAAGTTATCACAGGTGCTTGAGGACAGGACCCCCCCCCCCTATATAAATCCCCATGTCTGTTTGACTTTTTTCACATAAATTATATATTTTTGACACATTTGTGGTATAATCTATCCTATCAATTCAGACAATTTGCTTAAACTAACATTTTATAAAAATTTCTACCCACTCTATATATATAAAAAATTAACGATTTTATAAAGAGAATGTAGGGTAGATTTTATAAAACGTCTGTTTCAGGTAATTTTTCGATTTGTTGGTATAGATCTAATCACAAATATGTCAATAAAAGATTATTTATGAGAAATAAGTCGAAAAAGACCAGGGGTCTATATCGAAAGGGGGGGGGTCCTGTCCTCAAGCACCTGTGTAAGTTAAATCTGATGGTTATTTGTTGACCCCCAGCCTCGAGCTCCTTAAACGGAGGAAACTGGAATATAGTCAATACTGGCCTGGGGACCATACAACTTGTACCAGCTCATTTTTATTTTCATCTCAGTCTCACTTTTCCCAAAAGAATATATAGATCTAGCGGAAAAGTGAGATTGAGATCAAAAGTGAGTTCGTCTAAGTTTTATGGCCCCAGGCCGGTGCTTGAGCCCCCCCCTCCTTCCCCCTCCCCTCTGTAAAAACCATGCGCACTTGTAGGTCTTTTGTTGTCATATCTGTAATCTTATCCATAGTGCTTAATGCTGTCAAATATAGAGGGGGGCATGTGTTATTTAACTCACAGGCACTTGGGGTATATGGACACACACCCCTTCCATTTTTTTCTTTCTATTAAATCTGGGATCAAGTATAACCTTGATTTCTTTCCTAGCTATTTTTATATTCTAGCATCCACTATATACGTTATCGCTAATATTACTTTTTCGTCTCTATAGAAGTTGTTTTAAAATACATGAATACCGTTTTTTTTTTTTAAATGAAAGCATCTAGCAAGTATGGACCTCCAAAACAAGCAGACGTGGGATCAGGTGGCATGGCGAAGTAAGCATCGCCTGTCGGCCGTTCACAACCATCGTTTGTTCTTCGTCATGATTGGGCAAACAGGAAAATTCGTAGAAAGCCTAACAATCTGAATGAAAAACGTTCGTCAACATTCGAGTTGTAAATAGCTATAGGCTATATTTATATAGCTATTTACTGACCAGTTATTGTATTTGACCATTGAATTTGAAAATATTAACATTAAACAAGACTGATTATATCCTTCTTTCATTAAAGTGTTTGCTTTAGAAAATTTTCGTACAAAGAACATATATATACATATAGGCATGTTCATACATATAGGCATATTCCTAAAAAGTAGTCTCCCGCATGGCGCAGTGGTTAAAGCGTCTAGCTGCTCTAGAGTCGCAAAGTAAGGAGTTGATCGTTACGTTGCGAGTTCGAATCCCACTGTGGGACGTGGAGACCGGTCCTTCGGATAAGACCGTATAACCGAGGCCCCATGTCGCAGTAAATGGTCGCATGAATAAGATTCCTTCCAGTTCAATGACCTTGAGTCAACAAAATCTGCAGCTTTCCTTCGGCAAGCGGGGGGAGGGGTCTTCATATGAGTGAAAAATCTCGAAAAGGTCATTAAACAATGAAAAATCAATCAATGAATACTAAAAAGTATCTTGCGTCAACTTCCCTTACATAGTATGATGACTATGATCGAGACGTTGACGACATGCAGAAAAGTTGAATTCATCATGTACGTTAATCATAGTTTTCTTGTTATGATTTCTATAGCATATGTGTCATAATGTATGGTATCTTATTGGATATATATACATTGTACCAAGTTAACGTAAAAATGAAATTGAATATTGAAATGGATAAAATGTCTTCAATTATACCGAAATGTTTAATTGAAGACCCAAGTAATAGACCTTTTCATAAACAAAAGTTTTTTTTTTTATATATAAATTCTGCTTCATTTGCATACAAAAGTATATATAGGTCTGTTAATTAAGAAGCGCTATTGGTACCCATGGGAAGTCCAAAAGATTATTCAAAACAGAAACTTAGCCATCTTCTAAATATCAACTTTAAGTTCTATAAACTTCAGGGCATTTCAGGGCCTGGTTCAGGGGTTCTGGTGTTAGTGTTCTAATGATTATGCAGTGAAAATGCATGTGAATTCTTTGAAAATCTTTCCCTTTGCATGGGTTCTGGTGTGGATGATTATGCAGTGAAAATGCATGTGAATTCTTTGAAAATGATATTATATATATATGTACATATTTTTGATGAAGCAAGGTGTCTCTTCCAATATGGTTAGTTGCAAGGTCCCTGGGTCAGAGGTACAGTGACTGAGGATTACAGATTCTGAAACTAAATTAATATTTTGAAATCGATCTGCTCTTAGATATTGATCAACCATTTATAATGAAATAAAATTTATGATATAATTTCCAAAATTTTGAAATATGTTACACCCCCCCCCCACGCACAAACAACATGGCCTCTTTGCAAAGATATACAGACATGATATAGGCATGCATTGAAAATTAAGGCTTAGTTCCTAAAATATTTTCTTAGTTTGTATTTCACTTTGTTTAATTAAATTGTTATAAATGAGAAGTGATTTTGTATAATATCTTATATCAAAATCAATGGTGACGCCTCTATCTGAGTAAAAAAAAAAGTCTGGAATGGGACGTAAAACAAACATGCAATCAATTAAAATCAATTTAAGATTTACTACATTTTTTGAAAGCTATAAGGAGACCTTATACGCGTTTTTATATTTAACTTTCTCAGATATATGCAAGACCCCCCCCCCCGAGATCGTATGGATGACCATGGGAGGGAAAGGGATCGAATGGGGACAACGGCCGGCAAATTCTATGTTTGGTACTGTCTTCCCACTTACTTTTTATCAAAATAGAAAATTTGGTGTTCTATTTTGATAAAAATTTGTGGAAAGACATTAATTATATACCTTAAATTTGCCGAATAATTTTCCAAACTATTTCAATCTTTCTCGGGAATTGTGGTTATAATGTCTTCTTTTTCAGCATATGTAATATACTCAGTAGTAAGTGTACCCCTTCTAGTTTCCAACGAATTAGAACAGGCACATGTAATTTACAATGTTTTTTTTTATCTATTTAATTATAAGTGTGTTGGGGAAGGGGGGAGGGGTTGACACATATGCATTCGCATGTATTTTTGCATAGACTAGTGCGACCACTCCGTTCTGTTCTTCCTTCTATTAAGCTTTACATTATGAAGGAATCTTTTTTTTTTTTTGATGTTGGAAAGAATTTTAAAATTAACTTCATTGATTCTTTTTTTTACAAAAAAGTACATTATTTCGGGGTTCCTTATAGATCTGAGTCATAAAATGATAAACGATCGTAGAATAGAATTTTTCCCTTTTAAACTATGGTGGAAAAGTGCCTTAAACATATATTTATTTTTTCAATGAAATAACAATTTTCATATCCAAAATTATGATAATTTAACAAAGATGTAAAAAAAAATTGTTAATTTAGCACAAAGCAAAATCCACAAAATTAATGCAAAATAAAAAAATCTGTGTTGTAGGTAATATTATTGAATGAAATATTAAAGCAGCTTATTCATTTATTTCAAGCTGTTGTACATCAACGATGAAGAAAAGTGCCATGTGCTTATAATGGTTGCATTTCTGAATGAAAACGGCTAATTTCGTATGCAATGGTATGGCTGTTCCCATTGGCTGTTCCATCGATTGAACACAGACACCGACCTTCGCCGATGTTTACAATATTTACCGACAATTAAATTCCCCTGCCTGGGGTATCGCTAAGTACTGTTCTGAACTCCCCGATAAATAAGTGCAATTAAAAGGACTCTTATTTTTTGTTAATTAGATGCGAGCGGACCGACAGGTGTGCGGAATCGCGATTGGCCAGAGCTGAGCTTTGCGAATACAGCACCACACCCTATCGTTCATCGCACGACGAGGCCGAATATTGTTATTACTGACAATCGCTCTGGACGCCATTAAATTGTGTGGTTGAATTTGGGACTTACAAGCCCCATGTGCGGGTGAAATTCACACGGTGTACGTCACCCCCAGCTTTTACAGAACGCTGAAAAATCGGCGTATATAGTCGACAAGGCTGCGGCCAATATTCTATTAGGGGGACTCGGTCGAACGTCAATGCGAGAAAAATGGCATGTTGTTTAAGCGACGAAGCCAAGGAACAGCGCCGAATTAATGAGCAGATAGAGAGGGAAATTCGGCGAGACAAAAGGAATCAGCGGAGAGAACTAAAGCTTCTTTTGCTAGGTAAGAGGGCGAGATTTTTCCCGGCAAACACGGGACTGAAAATGATGCCTATAGATGCTGATCCCGAAATCGCCGCCATTTTGAATAATTATGGTCTTGATTCACATGAAAATAAACCGGGTTTTTGTCATTTATTTAGCGTGTTGTCCAAATTAGACCTTGTATTTTTAGTTATGAGGGTGATTTCAAATAATATAATGGGTTCAACTGGTTTGGGGATGAAGAATTCGACACTAGATATGAAAAAAGCCGAGATGCATTTTGATGCAGTTTTTAGCGAAATGCATCTTGTGTCATGACGAAATATGCAGGTTGTGTCAAGGACACGCTTGAACATGGCATATCAAAATGTTCTCAGAACTTGATTGAATCTTACGAACACACAATTTGACATGCAATTAGTCTTACAATATTATTTTTACCCCATTGAAAATACGGCTTTGCATCACAGTATTGGACGCCATTTTGAATAATTAAGTTGTGTTCACAGTGCATTGAATAGACATGAAAGAAGAAAGTATTCGGCATGTGTATGACACTAGGCCTACCCTGCTATGCTTCAGCACGGGTGTCACATAGCAAAGTAACCAAGTGTCAAATTGGGTCAGTTGACCTAATTTAGTATTGCAATGTACACGCCATTTTGATAATATTGGATAGTCCAGTCAATAGATAGTATATATATTTTTAGAGAAACGTCATCCTCTTGAAAGTGAAACTTTAAATCATTTGATGATGGTGATGAAATACAGTTATCGCCTTGTTTAATTGTGTATTGGTGTTGAAACAACGATTGTCATGGGGACAGTTGTTTTCTCTTGTGTGTGATTTTACATTTTTGTTCATTCGGAGAACCTGGCAGCTGTGTCTGATGTCGCAGGTTCGATTCAGATCAGGGACATTACAGCAGTCCCTTTGCCTCTGGTATCCGAGTGCATGTGTATGGACAATTATAAAGACTTGTCAGAGACAAAAATTATTTTATCATTTTCATAAAATTCAGTGATTACTGATACACAGATGAATACTTCAAGGACGGGGTCATAGTTGTACCAGGCTATCTGGTGTGCAACTTAAAGATGCTGTACTAACACATTTAACTTAAGTTTGTTAGTTGACGACAGATGAATTATTAACCATTTTTCACTGGACAGTCTGTGAATTTTGTGTAGTGTTGCCCCCAATGCAGAGCTTCAAACCCCTGGTCTTGAAAAATTCACCTGGCATCTTTTTTAATTCCAAACCTTAAGAGCTCTGATTCAAGTGATCATCTTTTCAATTTATAATAAATAGTCATTGTACTGTCTTCATTTTGGAAAAGATGTCCGAATTGTCATCATTTGGTCATTTATGGAAACATTTTGTGTGTGATTTTATTTTGTGTTGAATGCTAAAAAAGGAAAATAAGGAACAAAGGACAGTTGAGCTTTATCATGTTTATTGGATCAGGTTTGAATTTCAGGGCTGAAGCCGACATGAAACAGCTGTTGATATTGTCATTACCAGAAGACTTTCATTTAATCTTCCTTTAAAAAAGCTTTAGGGTTGGCTTGCCTTGTTGGACAATAATATGTTTTAAAAGTAAAATTTGAGATTGTTTTTCCCTTGCTGTGCGATTGCTGATTTTCTCATGTCGAATCTGTGAGATCTCATTGACATATATAATGTTACACTAATGCATTTGATGTCCAGATTTTTCTTATGATTTATGCACAGGAAAAAACTGATGTCTCTTTGAGTTAGTTCCTCCTTTCAGTATTGTTAAATTTTGCATATTTGTTTTTTGCATTGGGAATTTGCCTAACTGGTTATTTTGATATTTGATTTTCAGTACAAACTGATACACAATATTAGTTACATAATGTTCCTTCAAAAAAAAAAAAAAAAAAGATCTGTGATGGGAAATTTTTGACGGAAACAGCTTTCCAAGGCTTTGAAATAGCATTTCTAAATTTATTTGATCATATATGAGAAAAAATAAAAATTATAAAAATATTTTCAATTTTCAAAAAAAAAATTCTTATTTATCATTTGATACCCAAAACTGATTGTTGCCCATTTAAAAAAAAAAAAATGAGCTTAGTGATAAGAGAGGGAGTATCTTTCCCAGACTCAGTCTCTCCCCCCCCCTTTCTTGAAAGCTGGTGACAGCCAAGAATATCATGAATATATAAAGAAAACACTAATGTTTGATGTTTAATCACAGTCCATGTGTATTTCACTTTCCGTAAAAGGAAAACATGTTTAATAATGCTTAAATTGTTTATAAATAACTTCAAATAATTCTAATTCTGAGAATTATCAAACGAGGTCTGTTATCTGATTTATTTTGTCGGTTGTTAATGACCGATTTTTCCTGTTAAATCATATTTACATTCAAATTGGAATGTCAATAACAATTCTTTAGCACATGTAGTACACATCTTCTCAGTTTGTAGAAACCTATCCTTTCTTACACGCAAGCATTTTTTTTTTTCCTCGAAATAGTGTGTGTGACTGTCAGACTAAAAATTTGTGAAGTTGATCAAGATCTGAAGCAGATTGTATACATAGGGGTTAAAATGTATAGGTTGTGAGTAAATAAATTTTCAAGTAAACAAAAGTTGCGCATCTCACAGATTTTTTTGCTTGCAAATAAAAGTTTGTTTTCAGTTCTTGCATATCCTTGTTTGAAGTTAGGCAAAAGAATATACTCTTGTTTCTTGTCCCCTGACCTACCCTACATTTTACTCTCTGACCCTAAAAGTTTTTTTTTACGTTTTCGTTTCTTGCAGGCTCTTTTCCCAAAATATTTAAGTCCACTTAGAGGCCTAAATTAAAAATTAGTTTGTTTGCAGTTGCCTACCGACCCACTGAAAATGCACCTGACCCAAACTTTTTTTTAGCCATTTTGTCATTTTATATATATTTTTTTTTCATTTTTTTTTTTAGAATATTGAAACTGTTTCATTTTCAAATTTTGACTTTTGTTTTTATCAGTCAGTGGTTTATAACAAGAGTTGAGCTTATTCATGTTTTACAGGATTTATACCGCCAGATATGTTAGCTCCTAGATTGTGGTGTGCTTATCTGTTAGTGATTCTTGCAGGACCCTCTCCCCATCATTTGATCCAATGAATGATTACATGTATTCTTATGTCCCTTGCAAAATCATTTTATTTTCACTCTGAGACATCCCCTGAAGCCAGTGAAGGTGTTTTAATCTGCACTCGGGACTATTTAGACATTGGGATTCTGTGGACTAGAAGTGCTATTGTCTGCTGTAACATGGGCCAAGGATTTTAACGTCTCGTCATTAAAAGACCATTTAGGACACTTTGAAGTGATGCTGTGCAGAGAGTTTGACATAGAAACATGCAGTTGCTACCTATTTTGTAATTGACCTAAGTTTTTCACATGGCCACTGACGGATATAGATGGGGCCCAGGGGGGCCCGAGCATCCTGTTTTGTGTCCAAAATATACATGATTTAATCAATATTTTTTGTGTGGCTGTGGGCCCCTTAACCCTGACCAACAACCGGTCGGGCCCCTCTTTTCAAGATTCCTGGATCCGCCACTGAAGGACAAACACTCAACCTTAAAACTATGGAGCAAGCGTCAGACTCTCTGAGATACTGTGATCTGTGAAGATTTTCTCAACAAGTAATATTAAAGGTTCTATGACCGTAAAGAGCTTGAGAGATTTGTTATGGATTGATTCTGCTAGATAGATTTACTCCCCCCTCCCCAATGTCTTCCCTCATCAGTTCTTCCCTAGATGAATCATGTATATATTCAGTAATGTCACTATACTGCACAGTGTGCAAATGACAAATTTACATGATTGAAAAAAAAATTCAGCTGGAAATATACCATGGACAGTTTATGGCTGATTCTGCCAAACTTGCATAGCTGTTTCGTTTTGGAAGGGAAAGAGTCATTCACCAATTGGGCATGGCTTAGAGGACATGCAAGTTTGGGAAGCAGAGCTTACAATGTAGATATTGACGTGTATACTATGTAGATATTGCATGATATATAAATACATCCAGGACCCACCTCTCTCTCTGTAGCCTCCCTAATCTGTATTGATGCCCCTTCCACACCTTTGTTCATCATGCTGAAAATTATGAAACACCCATACCCCATTAAGTGATATGGTTACTCAATGAACAAGTATAAATATAAGTTCTGTGTATGACTTTAGAGAAAATTGAGTGGTTATAAACTTGTGTCAGCTGTTGTGCAAGTTAAAATGCCCAAATATGAATCAGATTTAGATTAAAAAAGGGGAAAAAATCAAATTTTACTGATGTCCTATGTTAAAAAAAAAAATCCTGTAGAAATTAATAATTAATTTTTGAATTAGAAAATAAAAGGTGCTGTAAATAATGACACCATGCCTTCATTAAAATAAATTTGAATATACATGTACCATGATAACCCCCACCCCGACCCAACCCTCTCTCTTTCAGAGATCAGAAACTGAAAGCATGGTCTCTCTGTAGCTTGAAATTTACCTTTGCCCCAAATTTTAAAATTTTTGTGAAGCATGTTTAAATTTAATACCAAGTGCTCTTTTAATGAAAGTTTAGTTTTAGTCACTCTCAGGAATGTGATATTGAACTGTCATAATTATAATGTTAGTAACTTATTGTCAAAGGTTCCATGTTTTCAGTGTGAAAGCAATAATTCAGTGCTCAGGTCATTAATATAACATGTATAAGGGGGAAGATAATGTGAAATTTTAAAACTCCTCATAGGCCACTTAAAAAAATGGTGCATATATTTGCAAATGAATATCATGCTTGAGCACTAGCTTTACAATTCTTATCAATGTTTTTCCATATTTCAATGATTTGGCATCATTCTTTTTAAAATATGTTTTCAAAAAGCTTAATACCTGAATGGTACTTAGTTTTGAGAAGATGTGTGAAATTTTCCTGTCAGAAGCTTAGGAAGTGTATGCACCTAAGGATTTGTGTTTTTGACCTTCAGGGTTAGTATTACGTTAACACTGGGGAGTTTTGATTAAGATTAGACCAGTCTGAAAACTAACACAGCTAGTCCTCCTATCTGTAGAAAGCCAGAGATTTCCTGTCTTTAATGAAGTGTCATACTACGTGTAGTACAACAGACAAGATTCTTTTAATGGAAAACAGTTACAATGTTATACAGTGACACAAAAAGTTCAGGGCTACAGTCAGTTCCAATTACTGAACATTGAAGACATAAGTCTGAAGGCCTCTGAATTACCATATGAATGTGAGATGAATACATGTAAATATATATCATTTTCAATTAAGTTATTTGATAAGGCCTAAACCAAAGAAACTAATTAAAATTTAAAAACAGAATTTGCTGATTCAGTGAGATGCATCATGGTAGTAAATTTTATTGTGCTAAATTCTCGTAAAGTTGATTGTTCCATTTGTTGTAAAGTTGATTATTCTATTTGTTGTAAACCCCCACCCTCGAACCTATGAGCTATACATATAGTTCTCAGCCAAAAGTACTGGACACAGATTTTACCTGACATTTTACCTGATATTCTAGGTAGGTACAGGTGAACTGTAGTGTCCTCAGAACCAAAAGTACTGGACACAGAGTTCACCTGATGATGTACAGTTAAATACAGGTGAGCTATATGGTCCTCAACCAAAAGTACTAGGGCATACACTAATTCCCTGACGATATACTCTTAAATACAGGTGAGCTCTATGGTCCTCAACCAAACTACTGGACATAGTTTTTACCTGATATGTTACCTGATATAGGTAGGTACAGGAAATCCCCTGTAATAGGATTATAAGACCTCATCATTATCTGTCATCTGGTAACCATGGCTACCTGACTGTCAGATTTCTGAATTTCTGGCAATGGAGGGATAGATTTCAGAATCGGTTTTTACTGTTTACTAGGGGGTCTCGTGATGGAGGCACATGTGGATAATTATTTATTGGTATCGGTGACTGGTCGATGGCAGTGTAATGCTGGTTTCTATAGTGCATGGTTGCACTTTAGTTGGCTTAGTTTTTTGGGGAAAATGTTATACCCCCTAGAAATGATTGTGGATTATGTAATTGTCATTTCGTCAGAGCAAAGTACTGTGTGTGGGTGGGTGTTGAATGAAATCAGACTTCACCCAACAAGGCTAAAATTTACCAAATACAGTGACATCAACTAAGAGATAAATTTAAAAACTTACTTTTTTCACTCAGAATTAAGCATTATATAGACATTTCGAATAACTGAATCTTGGTGTGTCTTTTTTTCCTGCTAATCTTGCAAATTCTTGGTCAAGTGGTATATGAGCTCAGCTGTTTTATGAAAATTTAAGCAATCCCTGTTTTATGATATCGGTTGTTAAGTCTATACTGTAAACAGAGTTATTTTTGCCCTGCATTAACTTTTCCGTTTCACACTTACACACAATTTTGTCTTCTTTTGAAGTAGCATCACATTTCTGTTTAAGAAATTATACAATGAGTTTTGAATTCATCTCCATTTAAATTGGCCTACTTACAGTTCTGTTTGAGAAATTACACAGTATTCTTTGAACATGTTGAAAACGCCCATTTTAATTTTGCCCTGAGAGTAGGGTGAAAAATTTGCCCTGCTGAGAGTAGGGCCAAAATGGGGGCCAAATTTTCCCTGTATTCAGTATTAACCTATTGTTTTCTGTGTTGACAGGAACAGGAGAGAGTGGAAAGAGCACCTTTATCAAACAGATGAGAATCATCCACGGCTCAGGCTACTCCGACTCGGACAAAAGTGGCTTCATCAAAATCGTGTACCAGAACATCTTCATGGCTATGCACTCCATGATCAGGGCCATGGATACCTTGAATATCTCATACAGTGATCCAGCCAATGAGGTTAGTTCTTACTGTAAAATTTTCTCTCAACCAATCAGATGAGTTCATAAGGTAATTTAGCCAATGAGGATTGTTCTTTGACTCTGTCATTGAGTTCTGTCCTTCACTTTTGCCAATCAGATTACCGTAGTTTCCTAGAAAAAATTTGCTGTACTATTCGGTATTTTTCTTGCCAAGTGTTATTCAACTTTAATTCGTAAATTTTATAATTACAAATGCTTTTACTATGAAAGTAACTATTTTTAAGTTATGTAGATGAAAATAAAGTGGTAAAATTTATGGTATATTTCATTCCTGACAGTTATTCTGATTAAGATCCAAAGGGTACCTTGGACTGGTATTTCCTATGATTGGTGAATAATTTTGTAATGTAAATTGCAGGAAAACGGTCTGTTGGTCCGACAAGCGGATTTTGAGACGATTCACACTTTTGAAGAACCTTACGTTAGTGCAATTAAGGCATTGTGGGCAGACGATGGAATCCAGGAGTGTTTTGATCGTAGGAGAGAGTACCAGTTAACAGACTCTGCTAAATAGTGAGTACCAGTACTTAGACTTGTGAGTATTAGTAAGACTGCTTAATAATGAATACATGTACCTTTAAGTTCAATGTAAAAACTGGATAAAAAGTGAGTACCTTTATGTTGAGAATATAGTCCAAATGTACAAGTGATCAAGCATCATCAGAAACAATTGATGATAAGTTTAAACTTCATTCTAAAAAGAGCGCCTCAGCATTTAACATACATTGCTAGGATATTCTAGGTATAAAGATAAGTATTTGAGAATTCATTCCTCAGAAATGATTTTAATGATGAGTATTTTCCTTTTTACAGCTATCTAGATGATGTTGATCGTATCGCAAATCCGAATTATTTACCAACGTTACAGGACATATTGAGAGTGAGAGTTCCGACGACGGGCATTATAGAATATCCATTTGATTTGGATAGTATCATATTCAGGTAAGGATTTTTTCTGTTAGATGCATAAACGTGTAAAGAACAGGTAACTTTCTTCTTATATTGAGGATCTGTAAAATATCTAAATTTACTTGTGAAACTATAATATTCTGATAATATCAACTTAATTTGATTTAAAATTAAAAATTCAGAAAAAATGAATTTTTGGAAGATCAATTCTACCTGGGTCAAGCTTAAAAAAAAGTTTGGTTGCCCTCTCCTGACCGACAGGCTATAAATGGTTTAATCCAAAACTTTTTTGAACATTCCTGGACATGATATTTTTTCTTTTAATTCCTCTTATCCCGTCAACAAATGTTGAAAAAATATGTTGAAATTTTCTGGAATAAAGATTTTCCTACCTATCTACCGGCCCAATAATTTTAAATTTAGTTGGGAGATGGCAACAAAACATTATTTTGAAGCTGGTCTGGGTGATACCTTATTTAATTGGAATGGTACATGATTTTGGAATGGTACATGATTTTGTAAGAAATGATCAGTTTAACTGGACTCAAGATAGATTCTCAATAGATAGATACTTCTTTCAAAATCAAAATAGCAGCTATTACAGTTTTAGAATTTAACACACACCGTTATAACAGTAGATGTTGTACTTTACACACAGTTTTTTAACACACTGTAACATATTGTAGAATGGTGGATGTGGGAGGTCAGAGGTCAGAGCGGAGGAAGTGGATTCACTGTTTTGAGAACGTAACGTCCATCATGTTTCTGGTGGCCTTGAGCGAGTACGACCAGGTCTTGGTCGAGTCCGACAATGAGGTACAGACAGAAGCCATACAAAGGGTTACTGTGTACAGGGAAATACAGAGGCCATACAAGGGGGTTACTGTGTACATGTACAGAGAAATTTGCACACCCCTTGTTATTCTTTTCACAGTTTTTTTCACACTCTTATGCTTGCAAACAGATTTGTCCTTTTCTGAATTTTTATGGGGAAACTGTTTTAGGGACAACCCTGCCTTCTGGGGTCAGATTTAGTTTGGGAAATAGATTTTCTGGGCTGTTTTAAGGAATGTGGTTACTTATTTCTTGGGTTACGCTAAGGTACTTAAAGCTGGGGGTTTGGTAGCTGCAATAATGTAGCCCTCTTCTATTTTTTTTTTTTTTTTTTGGGGGGGAGAGAGCTACAACTCCTTAGGATCTCCATAATGGTGCAAAGTGGGAGCGATTTGCTCCCGCACGGATTTTGGCACAAATTGATTGTAAATGGCTATTTTATTTATATGCCTTACTAGGGCTGGGTATTGGCTCGAGATTTCGTATTGCGATATATTGCGATATTTTTAACTGTATTGCAATATGTATCGCAATATTTTCAATGTCATAAAAATGGGGTTTCAGAATGTACATAACATGATAAGTAACCAACACGGAAAAAAAATGTGTTAAGGCCCTTTCAAAACAACTTCTGTCTTACTGTTTGGCTTAAAAACAAACTTTTGAGTCCATTTTTATATTTAATGACAAAATTCCTTAATATTATATTGCCAATATATCGATATTACAAAATCGTAAAATGTATTGCAATATATTGAAATATCGATATTATTGCCCAGCCCTATGCCTTACCTGAACTTCCAAAATGTAGTTATCCCAGACATAAATCGATCCAAAAATATACAGAACAATCCATATATCAGTATTTTTGTATGTCAACATCACAACTGCCATGTTTCTGACCTTGACAGATTTTATACAGCCAATGAGATTAAGGATCTTAGGGAGCGGTTGGAATTACCTTATTTTAAACCTAAATATCGCTGTTTACGAAAAAATGGCACCTGGAATGATTTTATTTATCGATGTTTAGTGTAACTATTCATCACAATTATTTATAAACATCGACATTTGCTTTATTGAGTTATTCGAAATTTCAAGCGCAAGTCTCACTACGTCACGCATGAACTGTCATGGCTGCTGGGTAAAACGAAGTAATCACAAAGATTTATTTTACATCGTTTTCGCGTTTAACGAGCTATGATGTCGACAGTGAATAAAAATTTTGTCTTATTAGAAGTAAGTTGAATGTAAAAACCTTCGGCTTCATCATTAAAAAATATTTTTGCACCATTACGGAGATTGTGAATTGTAGCCCTCTGCAGAAAATCCTGGATTGTGGAGATGGCTACATTATTTCCTAGGGGTAGCCATCTAGTGTTCCTTACATTAATATGTTAAGGCCCTTTAGTTTTGGTGTTTTTTTTAGTACCCGGTATTGGATTCTTAGGTTATATTAATACATCTAAAACCATTTGTTGTGATGGGACACCTGTTTCCAAGGTTGTGATAAAAAACTAAACCTTTGGTTTTGGTAAAGCATCTGTTACCTGGGTTTTTAAAACAACTGCACATTCGGTTGGGCTGGGGCATACGTTTGGTTGGTTGTGTTAAGGCACCTACACTTTGCATTGTGTTTTGACGCCTGTTCATGAGTTTTGTAAAGCAAACCTGTGTTCCATGAAGTGTGATAAACCACTTATTACCTGGTTTTGGGTAGGACAGTTAGATAATGGTAGAATATATTTGTATACCTTCAAGATATACATGTACAAAAATAATTTGATATACAAAGTAGCTGGAATAAAAAAATGAAACTTTAAATATTATATTCATTGATTTTTTGCAGGTTGATTTCACTTTCTATTTGTGCATTTATACACATTTTTACTATTAATTTACTTGTTAATTTTACTGTCTATTTATAGACTTGTTAATGTTTACTGTCTATTTATAGACTTGTTTTTACTGTTTATTTATAGAACCGTATGGAGGAGTCCAAAGCTCTCTTTAGGATGATCATTACGTATCCATGGTTCCAGAATTCCTCCGTTATCCTATTTCTTAACAAAAAAGATTTACTAGAGGAAAAAATTATGTTATCCCACCTGGTGGATTATTTTCCTGAATTTGATGGTGAGTCCCAGACATTGTTCACAACGTTCTTAATGTTCATCCAGCTTGTGCTAATAGAGAAAATAAAATTTAAAGTTAACGAACAGTAAACAAGATCAAAAGTAACCTTTTAAACAATACAAATTTGGAACTGAGCAAACACTGAACTGACATATCAGAGGTGGGATCAGGTGCCAGGGAGGAGTGAGCATCCCCTGTTGACAGGTTTGCCATGTGCTCTTTGTCAGGATTGGACAAAGCAAAAATTATCTTGGCATTCCAGTGAGAAAATAATGGCTTAACAATATGTTTGAAAAACACCAGCAAACATTTGACTTTATGATAGGTTGCATTTTCTGTCGAGGTCAATATATAGACTATAAATTTTTGAAATGTTATATTTGAACAAGATTGTTGATGTTCCTGTATCATCAACTGATTTGTTTATAGCCTGCATTGAATTGAAAAGTGATCATAGATTGAGTTTACTTTAAACAACTCAATCATTCCAATAAAGTAAAAAGAAACAAAAATTTGGTTTATGTGGTTTAATCAGTAAGCTGTATGGGAAACATATTTGTACCTTAAAGGTGGAAATTTTTACTTGTAATGTTTTGACCTTAATGGTGGCAATTTTTACTTGAAATGTTTTAATAATGCCTATACATTCTATTTCTTCATGGAAATTTCAAAGATTCTTTGATACAGAGGATAACCAGGAGAATTTGAAAAAAAGGCGCATAAAGTTAAATCCTAAAGACCACCAATTAATCTCTTATTCAAATACTTATTCCTGTAGATACTATGTCATGCTGTTGGCATAAAGGGCACGCTTGCTTTGTTCACACCACAGTACACTTGTTGTAGACGATTTACACCTTATAATCAAGTAAAATAGGGTGTGTAGTGTAGCAAATTCAAAATGGATGTCAAAATTTCAACCAGCTGAGGGGATCCTATTAGCGGCATTTAAAAAAAAAATTTCCTGCGATTGTGAACAATTTTCGTAAATTCATTTAAAAACAAAATATTTTATGAAAAATCAAAGAATTTTGTATAAACTGGCTTTTTCTTTCATTTTACAGAATACCAAGTGTTTCATTTTTCCATTAAATGCATAGAACAAGGGGATAAATCAATAACATTATTAATCAGTAATCACAATCAACCTATCGAATACTTGACAATAAAATCAACTACAGAAAAAATTCTGAAGTTTTACTGTCTTGACATTTTCAGCCATTTTTCGATGCAATGCCCTGGAGGGGTGCAGATGGTGCATGCAATTACCTACACGTGCCCTGCACGGGTGTAGATTGAGCAAACCTAAAGTGTACACTTTTGCACTTGGTTATTGAAAAGTGTAAAGAGGGTGTAAGGTGCAGACAAATCAAGCACACCAAGTGATTACTCAGTTCTACGTCTTGCTGTTGAAATGTTGATTACTTAATGTTACGTCATACTGTTGTAGGTCCAAAGAAAGACGCCCAGGCGGCCCGTGAGTTCATACTGCGGATGTTTGTAGACCTTAATCCTGACCCTGACAAAATCATTTATTCTCATTTCACATGTGCAACAGGTAGGGAAAACAATAGTAAAGATTCACCTTCATGTAAAAATTTTCTTTCTGGGGAAAAGTTCATTTTCTTTTGACGTTTCAATTTGATGAATAGCAGATTATTGGCATTTATTGTTTGATTAACTAAGTGATTCGGAAGATCATGGTGTTTTTTTTTTTTTTCAGAGTGAAGTGTCTTTTATGAATTATTTTTGTTCACAAGATTTTGATCACTTATTTTCAAAAGAAAAAAAAATAAACAGCTCAGTTGTCATTTTAAAAATCTTCAATAGACTTCTGATCTGGTATAGGAAAGATAACTCTTGTCATTTATCAATCAAACTGGAGTTCCAATCTTTACAAATTATAACCAATACGCTTGGTAAGGAGGTCTATGCTATCATTTCTATGTTATAACATCCATTGTGTTTGCTACATGTATTTTATAAACATATATTTTTTTCTTTTCTTTTTAGATACGGAGAACATCCGTTTTGTGTTTGCAGCAGTAAAGGATACGATTCTACAGTTAAATCTAAAGGAATATAACCTTGTGTGAGAAGATGAGGGATGCACATCATTTAAAAAAAACCTGGAGGTCGAAAGGTTAAATATGACACTTCGATCTCAAGTGGTCAAGGTCATTTTTCACTTTGACCCTGGTCAATTTTTGCTGACCATACACAAAAATAACCTTGAAAAGTGTCCTTGTACAAGAAAAACATTGAAAAATTTACAAAAAAAGAGAACAATTGTACTTAAACTGTGTTCTAATTACGTGTTATTTAATGCGTAATTACGTGTTATTTAATGCGTATACGCAGACAGTGACGTCTAAGGAGACTGAGAATTTTTTTTATATATATTATATATACATCTATATATATGATTATATCCTCATCATCTCAAGATAGGCAGTGACAGGGGCAATAGGGGGACAGGCTCCACCCCAGTTCTTTTTCCCCTTTTTTATCCCCCTTTTTCACACCCCCAAAGCAGGTCTACAAATCTTCAAATTTTTTTCACCCCTTTCTCCCCCCCAAAACATACCTTTTTCTCTGCCCTCAAGTTGACAATGTGATGGATACAGGAATTGGATGAACAGAGAAAGAAGATGACAGCATTTGAATCTGGGGAGCATATTCAAGTGAAAGCTACATTCGGGAGCTTATTAGATTTTTTTTTTCATTTTATGCAAATGTGTTGTGTACAAATCTGAAGTTTATAGAAATATGTAGATATAAAGAAAGGCTGTGTTACTGAAAATTTTTTTTGTTCTTTCAAAGAGAGAAGGAAAAAAACACACACAATGGGACTCTCCATCAGAAACACCAGTTATGCCCCCTTTTTTGATTCTCAGCAACAGATGTTTTAAAAAATCTGCCCCCCTCCCCACCCCCTCTCCCCCCTTGTACACCTTTTTTATGGTGACAGACAGACAAAACCAGGACTAAAACTGTGTGTTGTAAATGTGATTTAATATTGTGGTGTTATAGTCTTTGTTCAATTGCCAAGGGGAAGCAACTCCGTTGAAAAAGTGGTTATAAATTTTGTATTGGTGGACCTAAGATTTCTATTGGTGGATCTAAGGACATATGTGATTACTTTCTAAACCCTGGCCTGTGGATATTCATGTCTATTTTATCAATTAATGGCCCAGGACTGCGCATCTCGGAGAGAAAGGTTTCTATTTGATATTTAAAATGAGAGTTGTGTTTTTCCCGCAATTATTTTTTAGTGTGCATAATGAGGAACTAATTTTTTTATATTAAGATATCTATACAGCAAGGATTCATTTCCTGAACATGATCTGAAATCTGAAGAAAGCACCTGTATGTAGTAATTTGACCCATTTCCCAAATCAAGCAAGGTTTTAAACTTAGGCTGTGTAGAGCTTTAAATAAAGAGTACAGCTGACCTTGGATAACATTAAATTCTAATGTTTGAAAATGGCACAGAAGCTTAAATTTAATAAATTCAATTTTATGATTAAAGTGATTTTTTTGAACTCTTTTTTAAGTATTCTGGGAAGTTTCTGAATGCCACAAAATGATGTTTTTATAAGGAAATTGTAATCTCTTAAGCATTTGAAGACCATGATGATAGAATTGACCACAATTGTTTGGTTCTTATGCTCCCAAAAGAAATATTTAATTTTGATGGAAATATTTGATCAAAAGACAAGCTTATGATTTAAATAACAGCTTTCAGATTTTTGATACACTTCCATAGACTTTGACTGAAGTACAAATTATTTATGATGGTATGGATGATATGTTGAAATCTAAATAAATTTTCATAGAGTAATATTATGAAGGTTGTGGAACTCTTCAATGTTGGAGGTACAAACAAAATTTCCAAAAACAGATTAATGAACATCTACCATGTTATATTGTTAAATGTGTGAAACATACATGGCACAATTTCAGGGGAATATATTATCTTGTTTGAATATAAAATGGTCAAAATTAAAATAAAAATTCATATTTTACAAGAATGTTGGAAATATTTCTGTGAAATTTTGTTTGTATAGTTTTATACAGTTCAATGAACCATTAGACTGGTGTACCTAGAAATTTTAATCTTCCCAAAGAAGGCTTACAAATGGTGCATAGATATGTAACTTGTCTACTCTGGTAAATGTAACAGTGATTTTTTTTTTAAAGGAATTTGCATCTCATTGAGAAGTAAAGAAAAACACAGCTCTTCTTTATGTAAATTAGATTGGGTCATTTCCTGAGGTCATGTGTTCTCCATGTTGAAATAGTTATAAATCATTTTTTTTTTGACCAGTCTTGCATTACGAGTCTTTAAAATCTTTGATGTGCAATATATTACTGTACAAGTTATGTGTGGTGTAATGAGGTCTGTAGATTACCTGCAAATTACTGGACACTGTCCAATGTTTAACCATACTATGTGTGTACAAATTCGGTAGAATTAGGTCAGAGGTCAAAGGTGATTGTTGGTTTTATTGTCATGATGTAAACTAAAAAAAAACGCTTGTCATAAAAGACCATTATGCTCAATCTAAGAAAAATGAGATCGTTGATCCGCTCCTGTTTGATCTCTACACAAAGTGATCAAAGTGGAGCGGATCAAAGATCTCATTTTAATTAGATTGCCATTCAGCTATATACCTGCATGGCATAAGATATACCATTTGTAGGTTAAGTATCCTTAGACAACAAATTATCTCGGGACTTGTGTGTATATTGTTTTTGTATTATGTATCATTGGTTGACACAAGTCACATGTCCGACATGTGCTATTTTTAGAACATCGGTCACATGACGTCACATCATGTGACAAAAGATATTTTTGTTTCTTTCTTTTTTTTTTACCAAATGTAGAATTTTCTACGATAGGTGTTTTTCATTTGATGTGTGTGTAAAATTTCATTGTCAGTGGAATTTAATGATATATATAAAAAAATTACAAAAACAAGAACCCCTTAAAAAGATGTTGTAAATGTGCAGGGGGAGCTCTTGTTTATTTCATGTACGCGAAAAGCCAAGAGCGTTAGACTTTGTAATATGTGTGTGTTTGTGTGTGACGTTCACTTTTATGTGTATTCGAGAAAAAGTATGCAAGTTTAAAGAGAGGAAGAGAGAGAGAGGAAGGATGGATAGGAGTGATATTATATTTTTTCTGAATATTGTTACGAGTAATAGATGTACAGATATTTGCTGGGGATTATTATTATGTCAAACTCTACCTTTTTATTACTGGCCGTGAATAGCGTTCACTTGTATTCTATACTTCTGGTCAGGTTTACCAAGGGTTATGTTGATTTGGAATTTAAATTTAGGAGTTTGGATATTTTTTTTTTTTGCTCTTTAATTAAATTATACCATGGAGGAAAGGAAAAAAAATTAGCTTTCAGTCTTTCAAAAATTATTTTTTGAGGAAATTCAGATTTGAGAAATACAAATTATCTTTGAAATTTAGAAATAATAGAATATATTTGCATTTTTCCAAAAAGTTCAATCTTTGTGGTTAAAAATTTATTTGATGTTTTTGAAAATTCTGTGATTTTTTTTTCTTCATGTCTATAAAAAGAAAACCTGAAGAGAATCGATGAAATAGTAGTGCTCTTTGCATGTTGATAGATTTTTACGCTTAATTTTATGATGGAAAAGGGCCGCGTTTTTTATATATATTTTTAACTGCAGTCATGTGAACAAGATGTATGACTATATCACTGCAGAGAAATGTTTGTTTCTGACAGGTTAACCTGTGCATCTCTAAGTGTCTGAGAGACCCGGCAGACGCGTGATTGGGGTTCTCTCGGTTGATTCGTCAGTCCATATTATTTATTGTCACCAGTCAATAAAAGCTTAAACTGTACACCAGTGTTTCTTATCTCTGATTGATTAATTGTATATTGTACGTTGTGAGAATTTTTCACTTATATGGCAATGCCACCACTTGCCGATGGAGAGCTGCAAATTTTTGTGCTATACTCTGCACTCAGGACCATTAGGAGGGAGGGATCTTTTTTGTGCCAGCACCAACTGCAACACGGGACCTCGGTTTATACGGTCTCATCCGAATCTTTGAAGACTTGGAGTAACTTTTTGTTCTCCCATTATCAACTGTGTTTCATTACTCTTGTGCAGTTGTTCAAAACAACATTCTTAAAATGCCCAATATAACTTTGATTCATTTGGATGTTCATAACACTGGCATTTGTTTCAAAAATAAATTTCTAACCTATAGTATAATAATGTTATCATAATTTATATACCATGGGTTAAAATTTTTCCGAAACTGGTGCCTGTGGTTCATAACAACAATCTTAATAGGCTGCTTTTTCAGGATTTATTTCATCTCGATCGATGCACACAAAAAAAAAAATCAAAAGTTTAAGATAAATGGTTACTCTCTGGCATTGGTTATAGAACTAATACTTTACTGTGAAATCAAGTATTTCTTTGTTTGGAGATTTCCGTATAGGGTATAATTTTCTTCATTTGAACAACCTCACAAAAACTTGAACCAGAGATGTGTTCAGCAGAGCGAGCACTCGCAAACATTACTATTAGAAGTTTAAGGAATTTTGTTGATTGCTTGCGAACGTTCACTCTGTTGAACAGGCCTCTCGTTACACGTCTTGAAAATGTAAGTCAGTATTTGCATTCAAAGCAACTAGGGTAGTGCGCATCAATAAAAGGATGGTATATCTCAGGATGCAAACTATACTGGACTTGCTTCAGATGCTAAATTTGACCAATGTTTTCTGGATGAGTGACCATGCCTGGAGGCCTTAATACTTAGATGAGCTAACTTTTGATCTCAGTCTTACTTTTCCCAAAGGAATTAATATTGGAAATGCGAGACTGAGATCAAAAGTGAGCTCTGTAAGTTTTATGGCCCCCAGACCAGGTCATTAAAGTTTTTGGAGCAGGTTTATTCTAAGTGACCATTAACTATGTCTTCTGAACATATTTATCTGAAGGACAAAATATAAGATTGATTGCAATGGGTAAACTTGTTCGCCTAGACTATTCTGTTAGCAGGATATGACAAATTAAGAATATAATTAAAGCCATTTATTTAAAAAAAATTACAGCTTAACATATATAGCTGCAGCATGATATTACAAAGAAATTCTTAAATAGTCCTAACACTAGTTTAAAACTAAACATACATGTACAACTATGAGTACACATTACTGTATACAAAATCAAATCAAGTCAAATACAGTAGTTTTAAAATTATCAGAAAATAGTTCTTTGACATAGCTAGAAACCTTTAATACTAGAAGATTAATGAAGATGACTAAATTTTAATTTTTCATTTCAAGAAATTGTAGTACTACAATTTAATTGATTCTCAAAATATAAACAGGATTAAATTTAATGTTTATTGAAACTCAAAATTAAGAGGACAGAGCTTAGAAAAAGTATTATTGTTTATGAGATGCTGTTCAACCTGCTGCACCCTAATGATGAGTATTGAGAAACCCAAAAATTGATTAATCAAGTATTCATTAAAAAAAATCTGTCCAAGAAGATGTACAATCATATACAATCAAAATTTATGGAGTTTCTTCTAAATTTGAAATTCCTCTTCAATGCATTCTGAGCCAAATAGAGGCAGGGTCATATCTATACAAATGCCTAGTGTTTCAGAAGGTCCTATGTATTAATTTGTCACTATATAAACTCTTTCAGTCAAATGCAGTTTTGAAACCTCCCACATTTTTGCTGCCTTTCACTATTGCATTAAATTTAGGTCTCTTTTTCAGTTCATCCCCTTTGCTTAGCACAAAATTGTTGGAAATTCCTGGAGTTCTAAAACAGAAATTAAAATATTTCAGAATAAAAAATATGTGTATAAACAAAGACAAGAGGCCCATGGGCCACATGGCTCACCTGAGCACTAAAGGGTAGGAAAAAGTAGAAAATGTTTTTTTATTGTAAAGTTTAAATCCAAAAGTAGTCCCATGACCAATCATGAATTTGCTATTTTTTAAAAATTATTTTTAAAGAATTTTCCTATATATCTTTAAAAACTTTGATCGGCCATTTTGGCCCCGTCCTACCCTGGGGGGGTCATGATTTGAACAAATTTGAATCTACACTACTTGAGCATGCTTCCATATAAATATGATGAATTATGGCTTTGTCATTCTTGAGAAGAAGATGTTTAAAGAATTTTCCTATATATTTCTATGTAAAACTTTGGTCCGCCATTTTGGCCCCACCCTACCCCCACGTAGGTCATGATTTGAACAAACTTGAATCTACACTACCTGAGCATGCTTCCATATAAATATGATGAATTATGGCTTTGTCATTCTTGAGAAGAAGATTTTTAAAGAATTTTCCTATATATTTCTATGTAAAACTTTGGTTGGCCATTTTGGCCCCGCCCTACCCCCCGGGGTAATGATTTGAACAAACTTGAATCTACACTACCTGAGGATGTTTCCCCATAAGTTTCATCTTTCCAGGCACAGTGGTTCTTGAGAAGAAGATTTTTAAAATATGCCACCAAATTTTCATTAATTCCCAATTATCTCCCCTTGAATGAGGGCATGGCCCTTCATTTGAAAAAACTTAAATCCCCTTCACCCAAGGATACTTTGTGGCAAGTTTGGTTGAAATTGGCCCAGCGGTTCTTGAGAAGAAGTCGAAAATGTGAAAAGTTTACAGACAAGCGGAGAGCTAGACAGACGGACGCCGGACAAAATGTGATCAGAAAAGCTCACTTGAGCTTTCAGCTCAGGTGAGCTAAAAAAAGGTTATTAATTAAAATCAAAAGTTGGTCTTTTTTATCCTTGTTTCTATTGTCAGAACACAGTTGACTGTGGATGGCTTTGTCAACTTAAATACTCAGTGTTTCCAAAATTCAAAAAAGTTAGAAAAAAATGGCATTAAAGATTTCTAATACAGGGTGTTATAAAGAAATGATATTATGGGTATAAAAATACTACATGTACATGTAGTATTAGTATGCATGTATTTCAGGAGAATAAGTTTACAGTGAAAAATAAAAATTTTTCTGGGGGGTCAATGTTTGTACGCAATCAAATTTTAATTGATTTATTGATTCAAGGACATAATTTTGTGGCTGAGAGATCATACAGCAGATTCAATAACAAAGTTATCTGCATGAATTTGTGGGTTAGAGTGACCCTAGAAATCCAACATTGGACCTCTGCAAATGATATTGATTCTACTTTTAATATATTTTACAATCATCATTCAGGTTAAATCTACTTACGCCATTAATATATCGATTGTTCTTTCTGTATCTTTGGACTTTTTGTGGCCTTTGCCCAATACAAGACATTCGATATCATGACACTGAAATAAAATTATGCAATATGGTTATTGTAACAACTCTTAACATATCTTGTATGTATGAAATTTATCTTCATAACCACATTATGCATCTCCAAAATACAAATTACAAATAGGATAATTCATTTTCTTTATTTTTTTTGTATTTCTTAGAGGAGATATACGGCATATTTTTACAAGGGGGGTGGGGGGGGGACTGGAATTTTTAACTACCTGATGACGTTTCCATATCAATATAACAAACGGCTGTTTTTGAGAAGATGATTTTTTTCCTATTTATTCATTTGACACCCCCCCATTGTGGCCCTGCCCTACCCCTGGGGACCCTCATTTAAATAAGTATGACTTTGTACTACCTGAGGATGCCTCCATATCAATATGATTAAACATGGCTTTTCTGTTCTTGGGAAAAAAAAATTTACTTGATATTTCTATAGGTAAAACTTTGATCTCCAATTGTGGTCTACCCTACCCTTCCATCCCCCTATTGCCCCCGGTCATGACTTGAACAAGTGTGAATCAGCACTATGTGAGGATGCCTCCATAATATATGACCAATAATGGCTTTGTGGTTCTTAAAAAGTAAAGTTTTTAAAGAATATTTGATGGATTCATTCCTATGCAAAACTTTAATCGTCCATTGTGGCACCATCCTACCCTGGGGGGTCATGATTTGAACAAACTTGAATCTACACTACCTGAGGATGATTCAACATAAGTTTCATCTTTCCTGGCTCAGTGGTTCTTGAGAAGAAGATTTTAAAAGATTTTTCCTATATACTCCTATGTAAAACTTTGTCAATTGTGGCCCCACCCTACCCTTTGGTTTAGGTGCAGACTCTAGCTTCAGCTCAGGTGAGCTAAAAATTGTTTGTGAGGATGTGAATTAGTGGATAGAGGTGACCCACAAAATCCACAAACAACAGTCCCCCAAAATTATTGATGATTCCACAGTAGGCTTCATTTTTGTATATTACCTTTTTATACGTTTTGAGTGCTTTCTGTATGTTGCCCTGAGCTAGATATATAGAGGCCATCATTTTATAAGTGTCTGACACATTCTCCGAGTAGTCACCAAACACGTCACATTTATCTTTAACACTGGATGACAGCAGACTCAGGGCTTCCTACAAAGTTATTATAGTTCATTATTATTAAAATTCTTTTTGCAAATTAAAGTTTTCATTGATTTTTGTGTTACATGTATAATCTTGAAATTCTAACAGTTTATTTCAAACATGTGGTTGCATTTAACCTAACATATGAGTCTACTAGCTCCTTTATCCCAATGGCTATGCAAAACAATATAAAGAAGAGAGTTAAAAGCTTGAAATTTAATCAGACTTGAGTTAAAAATAATTCTGAAAAAATTATACATGAATCATTTTTAAAAATTTACATGAGTAAAATTTCCAACATTTCCTATCAGCCAACCACTAGAGTAAAATTTTAATGTCCTCAAAAAGAGCATATAAGAATCTCCATAGACCCTGAAGAGCAAAGCCAATCAAATTTGCTGATACATGTAGCAATACAAGGAACTAGCCAATCAGACGTAAGGTTACAGTATGACTTACAGCATTTCTGTCTGTCCTGATGTAGAGTCTGGCTAACTCATCCTGTACTGTCAGGGTCTGTTTATGATGAGGTCCATGGATAGTTTGGCACGTTGCCAGACACTCGTTTAAATACTTCTCTGCTGCAGCTGTAATTAAGAGTAAATATATATATACCACTAATACCAGCTAAATTGTTATTGAAAGGGCAAGATATTTGCTTTACTGTTATATAAATTTTAAAATTGTATGCTTTGATTGCTTAATTCCTGCTTCTCTTATACTCATGTTATTGACAATACAGTGGACTTTCTGATATCTGGACGCTAGATATCCAGATGCTTCAATTTCCGGACAATTTTTCATCGGAACAGAACTTTATACAGTTATTTTGTCTAATTTAACTGATAATTCAGATATCCGAACGCTTCACAGATCTGGACAAATTGACTAGGAACCAAAGGTCAGGATAAATGAGGCTCCACTGTACTTTAATTGTCCATAACCTTGATATCAGAATATTTACATTTCCAATGTCTTTGTCCAAGATAAAATAACAAATTGTAAATGTACTTTATTTCCCCATCAATGTATTGGCGCAGTTAAAAAAAACGTGCAGGGCGGGACAAATAGCAAAACAGAATCAGGGCTTGGAGCACGTGGACTGGCGGAATCAAAGCATGTAAATATAAGGAAAAACTGTCTTATTTTTCAATTTCATGATGATGATCAATCGATTGGCTTGCATGATAATTTTATGCATAAACGCCTTCGGCATTTATGCAAATTATCACGCAAGCCAATCGATTGATCACATCATGAAATCGAAAAATAAGACAGTTATTCCTTAAATCAATACATACCTTCTCCATCTTCGTCTCCTGTGCTGCTGTAGGCTTGAGCCAAAGCCAGGGACGTCTCTATCAGCTGGGAATGACCATCCTTATAGCTACATAACACAGAAAATCATAAGCATTACAGCTATATATGAAGCTAAGATGAATTTTTAATATGCTAAATAAATATATGTACTCAAGTTGTCAGATCAAATAATACTGTTTTCTATGAAATGTTGCTTTAAAAAACAAAAACAATTCTTTCAATAATGCCCATTACTTGTTAAATACATGTATTTCAATTTTAAAACAGACATTAGCTTTTAATAAGTGACTTACTGGGAGCCAGCAATAGAGTGTGCCTGGAGAAACATGTCTATAGCTCTCTCATGGTTGGAATATCGGCCTTTACTCTGTTCCAAGTTCACAGGTTAAGGCAAGTAATTCAAATCCATTAGTTCAAGTGTACACATGGTTCAGAAAGTGTTTTCATTCTCAATTACATACTAGACAAAAATATTTCTTCTTTATGTTCAGTAAATGGCTTAATACTTTACATCTTTGTTGACCACATTTAAAATATCAATTTTATCAATTTCCTAAATTTAAAAAAGAAAACCAACTAAATAATTGCCCCGTGCTCTGATAACAAAGGATATTTTTCCACACTCCTGGTAGACTGGGATGAGATGTACCGAGTCCTCCCCATACCGGTCCTCCATCAGCTTCAGAAGTTTGTCGTACTGTGACGTGGCCACCGCGTACTTCTTCTGCTTCCAGTGTAATCTGAAGGAAGAGAATGTACATCCCTGTTTTCAAAAAATGTTTAAATAATAGTACTGTAGATCACTTAATTTTCGCAACGCCTTATTTTCGCGAGATAGTCATTGAATCTTTATTAGCGAGACAAAATTTTCACGAATTGTGGTCATTGCTATTATAAAATCTTAAGGAATTCTATTATACGCGAGAATGAAATTTTCGCGAGCATACCGTCTCGCGTAATTATGCGAAAATAAAGTTCTCGCGTATAAAAAGTGATTTACAGTAACATAACAGGATAGAAAAGAAATATTGATAAAATATATTTAACATACCAGTAATTTATGTTCAAGGGAAAAAACTCTTGCTTACGCTTGATCATGATATGAAGCATTGACTCAATATTTATAAAGTCATTATTTCATCAACATTTTCATAAATAGACAAGGTGAAAGAATGAACATATGCATTGTTGCACATGGTAGACACTAATAAAAATCGTTCATTTACTGGTAACCCCGGGTCCTATACTGTATCTAATTTAGGATAACAAGATTTGTCTGTATTATAACCGTACCTTGCTGTAGCTTGTGAGAGCTTGATTTCGTAATCGTCGAGCTGATTATCATCCACACACGACAGCTTGTTCAGCTCACCAATCACCTTCTCTGTTTTAGCCAACATTTGGTCGGCCTCGTTGTATTTCTTCAGAGTGGCAAGAGCTCGACCCTGGATGTAGTAAATCTTGAAAAGTACGTCGTAGATGTCTGCCTTTTCCTGGTCGGTTGTGTAGCTTGTTACGGAGTTTAGCATGATGGTTTTTGCATTCTCTGTGTGGTATTCAGCTTGTACTGCATATGCTGAAAAGGATATTGAAAATTTTATTAAAAGCATAAACAAGCAGAAGGAACTAGAAATAATGGTCAGTGTATGTTGAATACACTTGATGTGTGGAAATGTTGGTATAATTTTCCACATGTCAAATTTCTCAAAATTCTTAAGGAGCAATAATCTTTGGGAACATCCAAAACTTAATTTAAGCATTTCAATTGATGGGAAATAATTAGAGCTGTATATTTGCACAATGTCCTGATTATTAATGTTATTAACAAAGATACATAGCACAAATAAACATAAATTTTAGCATTATTATTTTCTAAGACAAAAAAATGTTTACCTTTAAGATCCAGATAGGCCTCAGCCAGGTTGGCATGACTACGAGCCAGTTTCCAATGTCCGGCTCCATACAGGATCCGGTTCAAAGCCAGACATTTTGTTAGCTCTGTGATAACTTTATCAACCTATAATATTATAATGTAATCTGGATGTAATTCATTACAAAAATAAATTCTGTGTAAGAATTAAATGGTAAAAATGCAATTACAGTGCTTTATGTTTCAATGAAAGCTTCTTACAAAATCAAAGCTTTTTTAAGAATAGAATATGTTTATCATATGCTCAAGTATATGCCCTATCACATAATAACGAGGATATTCATTTAAGGTCTTTCTACAGACTGAGATATAAAATTTTATGGCCATAATAAATAAATTGCTAGATTCTCATCCGAATTTTTTTTAAAAATTGGGGCGGGCGGGCGGCTTTTATTTCATATTTTTTATTTTTTCAATTTTGCAGATTTTTTATTGACCTGGTCAATCGGTGTAATTTTATCTACAATACCTGAATAAAAGTCATAGTAAAGGTTCAATTATCTCTTACTTCACATCATCACCAATCTTTTTCAACCAATGACCCTTGTTTAAAATATATTATACGCATGTATTACAGCAATTGCCATCTTTTCAGCTGTCAAAATCATGTCGACTTTCACGGGATTTAAAACGAATGTAGAATGGTAGATGAATACCGATCCCGATCAGAATTAAGACAAAGAAAAACAAATATTAAAAAAAATCGAGGCGGGGGCATAAAATCGGGGCGGGCGGGGATGAGAATCTAGGAATATTTTTATTATGGCCTAATATAAAAATAAAATCATATTTACAAACTGTATTTAAATAAAAATCATATTTTACATCAATCGTACAAAATACCTCAAAACACCCACCTTCCCACTTTCTGTAAACCTAACAGCTTTCTTTTCAGCTACTTTTAACTTCTTGTCCGGAGGTGTCATGTCGATTTTAGAGCGTCCGTTTTTACGTGGGGTGCGTTGAGACCGTCTCTGACTTCTCTGTGTAGGGGGCGCGGTCTCATCGTCTGTGTACACATCCTCCTCGTCAGACCTGGAATCAGTATAATTATTCTTAATTACTGTAAACTAATACTACTGTGAAATCACTTTCATTTTTCGTTATTTTCAAGGCGTGAAGAGACCAATGCATTTATGTCTACCACGAAAAGTAATTTTTCACAAATATTACTACTAAACAATTTGTCAACCACAAAATCAAATCCCCCTAAACCAATATATTTTCCTCAAACCACGAAAATTTGACCCCTTGAAAATATGTGACTCTACAGTATTCGCAAGAACTGAAGGAAAAGAAACAAAATATCTCTCATTTTCTTTTTGTTTTCATTTAATTTTGTATCTTTTCTATGTCGTTTCACTTCATTTCATTTCTTTTCTTTGCATTTCTTTTCATAATTTATAGGTACCCGTTTCAATAAACTTTTAAAAAAGCTGATACATAAAGATGTAATAAATAAATGATATAATTTTTAGGTTCTTTTTACCATGTGTTATCCTCTGAATATTCATCAGAATCATAATTATTCAGAGAACGTCGTCTTGGTGATGACCTTGGAGTTTTGGATGAACGATTGCGACCTTTAACCTCTACAACCATTGGACCTCCTGCACCAATGCCAAAATCTTCTTCGTCAGACATGGCTAATGTCTTAGAAAAAAAAATCATTCAAGTAAAATATATTTTATTCATAAATTATTTTCTGTCATTAATAAAAAATTAGACTGAATAAAAAATTAGGTGTGTCAATTCAACTCACTAAATCAATATCATAATTTTATGTGTGAAGGCTAAAATTGAAGTTATGTATGATGAAAGATTCAAAATTATCCCATTCAAAGTATATCAACCTGGATGTAACACTGATTGTGTGTGAGTCTATATGCTGTACATGTATCTCATATTTATAATTATAATGTTTATTACCCTTTTACAAGCATGCATATGATTCATGGCTATAGGCTGGATACTTAATTTGATGCTATTTTGAAGTCAACTGACAACAAATTCAAATTAGCTGCAGAATTGCAGTGAGTGAAGAAAAACTGCGACAAGAATTGATGGCTTTAATTTACAATGCATGGATCTGTAGCTCTCTGCTTTATCTGTCAGAATTTTCTCCAGCAGAGAGCAAAATTCAAGTTCTGCAGCTACTTTGGCAGATCCATGCGTTGATTTCCAACGCCACTTTTCTGAAGCTCACTGCAGTTCTACAGCTTATTTTGAGGTATATAAAAGGTACTACATTGTAGTGTAGAACTGTAGCTCTCTGCTTGAGAAAATTCGGACAGATAAAGCAGAGAGCTACAGATCCAAGCGTTGTAAAAACCTTCGATTTACACCGACGATTTTTGTCGCTCACTATGGGTATTTTTTCTTGTATGTTATACTTTCCCAGCTTTTAAATTGATTTTGAATGGTATCTAATAATTAATCATACATTAAATTTCAATTCTTGATAACGTACTTACCTACTAAACACTAACAAATGGCTGTGTGTGGTTGTAACAGATGTCGAAAGGGAACTCTTTCAAGCTGACATTACAAAACTATATACAGGACTATTTCGGACCGTTAAAAGGTAAATAAAGCATCAGATTTAAGAGTTTAATATATGAATTATTATAGGATACCATTCTAAAAGCCAGAGAAAGCTTAGACTACATGAAATCGTCGGCCTAAATTTAAGGTTTTTACTGCACTTGGATCTGTAGGGTTCCATGTTCGTTCGCCTTAAAAATTGTTCGCCCGATTTCACGTTCGCACGATTTCTTGTTCGCCAGAGTCCGCTCGCCCTAAAACTTGTTCGCACAGGGTCCGTTCGCCGTAATTTGATGTAGAATAAAATCCAATGAATTTCTTTCCTATTTTTTTGTACATTCAAAATAAAACAGACCGTCACTCTCTCCGTCAGATGTTATGCATATATGAATTAGTTGCAGCGGTCACACCTATTAACGTCTCAGTCCTTTCATTGTTTTAAAAATATAGCGCAATTCGTAAAAATATAACAGATTTATCCCCCTAATTAACATTGATATTATTCATCTAATTAACTATAGTGCAAACACTTAGTCATTCAAAAAACATTAGAATCAAATCAAAAATTATTTTAGACTAAATAAACATTGCTCTTCGAATCAGAATTTGAGAGAAAAAAATTCCAAGTTCGTAAGGGAAATAAATAGAAAAAATGATAAACTCGTATATTAATTTTTAATTCACATATATACAAGTATCTATAAGAATTGGGCAAACCACATATAGGGCGAACAAGATATTGGGCGAAAAATAATTCGGGCGAACGGACTCTGCGCGAGCGGACTCCTGCGAACAGGTAGATCGGGCGAACGAACCCGTTACCGATCCGTAGCTCTCTGCTTTATGTGTCCGAATTTTCTCAAGCAGATAACTACAGTTCTGCAGCTAAAAAAGTACATGAGGACATTTTGTTTGGACACTTGGCCTCCCATATTTAACTGGGCTTGTCTTCCCTTTCATTCCATATAACACCCTTTAATAGTGATCCTTAGTTTTTTTTATTGGGATAGATCTATTGTATTACCTATAACATAACGGTCGAACTTAATTATGATGACATGGTAGATTATCTACTGTGATTTTTCTAATTCTAGATCATTTGCATGTCTATTTCATAGAATAAAGGATGTTTCAGCAAACTACGATATCAATTCCAACCACATGCTTGAAATAATAAAATACTCTACCTTAATTAACCAGTTTCTAGATAATAACAACTCTGAATTTCCTTCTATTTCAATATTTTTCTAATGTGCTGCTTAGCAATACTTTTTGTTTATCACTTTTTTCGCCATTTTGAATTAGCTCGTACTATGAATAGAGAACAACGCTTGATGGCGAATGATAATCCAAATGATAAAACACTCTTATTCCTGACTAAAGTATTCAAACAACTTCAAATTTCACTTGCGATTAATTATGGTGCTTCGATGAATTATTATTTTTAATCCGAGTTATTCTATGCACGGCTTGTCTATTTGATGGATAGCAACAAACATGGCGAACACCGGGCTCTCACAACTGGTTAAGTATTATTTATATATCTCTGCTAGCCCTCTTCTTCGGTGTAACATGTTATTTACCCCCCCTATTCAATACTGTAGTTTAATCTGCATAGTTATGTTATATTTTCAAGCGTGATAAGGCCTAAAACGTAATGAACATTCATGAGAAGGTGCCCTAGCAGTTTCAAGGTTTGCAGAAAAAGAACCGATTAGAACATTCTCATATTTTAATAGTTACTAGAATGACACAACCATGTACTATGTACAATCTAGAAAGTATAGTCTGGGTTACAATTTACGGCTTCTGACCCACAGGCTCTTGTTTGATATACAGGGCACCCCTACTTATTTTTAGTAATTTTACACCAAGGTACCTTACTCAATTTCAGGCAACCCTGTAAGCTTGTATATTCATTAAATTTGATAATATATCAGTCATTAATGTACTTAAAAATGACATTGTTTGCTTTGAGAGAATTAGTCTTGTCAATTAAATTGTTTCAGAAGCCTTTGTTGTAAACCACTCATTTTTCCTCAAAAATTTCCTCGATACCAAGTCAGAAATTAGTTAAGAATAAGATACATCTATTTCCGGTTGGGGTTATAGATGAAGGAAAAAACAAGAGACTTCTGAGTATTCCATTCTGAGGTCAATTGCCTGTGATCTGACCAAACTGTTGTTATAGTATCATTGCAGTGGTGTGAAAGACAAACAGGCAATTAAATCTTATAAGATCATAGTTAGAATTATCTAACTGTGTCTCGGGACAAGCCCTCACCACAGTTATAATACCAACTGTATACTAGTAATGTAGCAAATAAATGCGGAATTGCTCCAAAACGAATTTGAAGTATACAAAAGGATTTGCACTGAAAATAACTTCAAAATTAATTATACTTACAAACCTTTCTGAGGTTGTGCATGCCTTTAAACCTAGTAAATTATAATCCAAATAAAGAGGATAATTCAACTAAACTTCTCAATGTTTTCTTGCTTTAAATTTGCACGCCATATTTGCATTCAGAACTCTTTGGAATCTTCATAGTAAATGCACTGAGTTTGAGTTATCGCTTGTGTTTATTTTGATACATAGTTAATACATGAATATTGTTAAATCGGGTCCATAGGACATTAACCATTTTAACAATAGAACATTCTATCTAATAAGACCAGAGTGTCACTGATTTAAATTAAAACTTCCATTGAATTTTTCAATATATTACAATTGTAACTATTAAAATTATTCTGTCAAAACTACTTAACTAAGAACCTTATTATTTTGTTATTAGTACAACTATCCATCTTTATACATGTTGGAAAGATCTAAAAATATTTTAGATAAGTTTGCCTCTGGTTGATATATTTAGTACATGTATTAAAATAGATTGTTGAGCTCCAACAGATTCAATTACTTACTGCCAGATAGCTTAATTAGTAAATCATGGATCTGTCAGAACTTTTGTGGAACCTGTTTGGAATCTTAGTTGTATCCTTAGCATTATTCACTTTCTCTCTTTCTGTCGTGAAAAGAAATGGTCTAACTAGTTTAACTGCTCTTTACTCCTTAGATTTAGGAAAATATTTAAGATATATCAGGAGAGGGAATTAAGAGTCAGACATGTTTGAAATATCAAGGAAGGTAGCTCAGTTCTTAGCATTTCAACTCTCCCATTTTATTGCTGTTCTGATCCATTACATTTTGATTTTTTCTGTTGCTTTTAAATTTGGGAAAACTTGTCAATGAGTATTTTGAGTTTGATTGATTTATTGTAAATAGTTCTTTATTGATTGGCATTTCTTTGTTACTTATAGATATATATTTTTTTTTTACAGAAATTAAGCTTACTTTCCATGTTTGTAATTTTCTTTTAATTTAAAATAACTTTTTAGTTTAAAAAAATTGCTTTGAAATGTCATATTCTCTCTTCTAATTTAAGAACAGTGACCTTTATAACAATGTCATATTAATTGTATATGCTGTAATTTAATTACTAAGAGTCTTAATATGTTATGTTTAAAATGTATGCAAGTTTGAATTACATGTTTTCTATGTATCAGTCATTTTATTGATTTATTCTGACTTTATCTTATTGTATTTTTCTCTATTTGCAGTATTCTATAATCTTCAAACAGGAAAATGGTAAGGCTAAAGCAAATATAATGTTAACAAATGCTCTTTAAAGGCTTGGTTTTGCCTGCATATATGTATAGAATGAATGACTAGCTTTTTTTGAAATAAAAGTTCAAACATATGTGGTTTCATCAGTATTCCATGAGCACCAATTTTTGAGGAATTTGTTGTTAAGCAGATCAACAAAATTAAATGTTCATTGAATTGAGAAATGTTTTATTCACTTGTATAGACAATGCGTTTGTCCACGAAATTTTAACTATCTTCGGAAATACCTGTTTTACAAAATCCACAAAAATTGATGGCAATGAAAATTGATGAAACCATGGTATTTTCCTGTGAACATGTTGAAAAGTTTTGTTGTACAAGTGTGTACCAAAGAAAAAAAATAATCACTAATTATTTCCAATAATATCCGACCAGCTCATGAGGACAGTATATGGAGTTGTGCCTGGCAACAAAGTGACAGAGATAGATCAGAGAACATCATTACAGGGGGGATAGATGACCTAGTTAAAGTGTGGAAATGGTGAGTCTATAAGTAGCATCATTACAGGAGGAACAGATGACCTAGTTAAAGTGTGGAAATGGTGAGTCTATAAATAGCATCATTACAGGAGGAATAGATGACCTAGTTAAAGTGTGGAAATGGTGAGTCTATAAATAGCATCATTACAGGAGGAATAGATGACCTAGTTAAAGTGTGGAAATGGTGAGTCTATAAATAGCAGCATATGGGGGGGGGGGGGGAGTAGGTGACCTAGTTAAAGTGTGAAAATGGTGAGGCAATAAATAACATCAGATGACCTTGTAAAAATGTGTGGAAATGGTTAGTCTATAAAGAGCAGCATATGGGTGTGTGTGTGACCTAGTCAAAGTGTGGGAGTGGTGAATCTTTCAATAACTGACAATGATAATGATTTTGATTTATTATACCCCCCGCAAATGAAGTTTGGGGGGTATACAGGAATCACCTTGTCCGTCTGTCTGTCTGTCCATCTGTCTGTCTGTCTAGCTGTCCGTCTGTCCGTCTGTCTGTGCAAACGTGTCCGGTCCATATCTTTCTTACGGAGGGACATTAGAATCTACTACTCCACACAAAGATTGCCCATGACCTAAGGGTGTGTCATGACCTTGACCCAAGGTCATTTGGGGAAATTCAAGGTCACTGGAAGAAATTTGCATAATTTGTGTCCGGTCCAAATCTTTCTTATGGATAAACTTGGTAGGTGCTCATTTCACACAAAGATTGCCCATGACCCAAGGGTGTGTCATGATCTTGACCCAAGGTCATTCGGGGAAGTTCAAGGTCACTGGAAGAAATTTTCATAATTTGTGTCCGGTCTACATCTTTTTTATGGATAAACTTGGTAGGTTCTCATTTCATGCAAAGATTGCCCATGACCCAAGGGTGTGTCATGACCTTGACCTGAGGTCACTTGAGGAAGTTCAAGGTCACTGGAAGAAAAAGTTCATAATTCGTGTTCGGTCCATATCTTTCTTATGGATAAACTTGGTAGGTTCTCATTTCACGCAAAGATTGCCCATGACCTAAGGGTGTGTCATGACCACGACCCAGGGTCATTTGGAGAAGTTCAAGGTCACTGGAAGAAATTTTCATAATTTGTGTCCGGTCCATATCTTTCTTATGGATAAATTTGGTAGGTTCTCAATTCACACAAAGATTGCCCTTGACCCAAGGGTGTGTCATGACCTTGACCCAAGTTCATTTGGGGAAGTTCAAGGTCACTGGAAGAAAAAGTTCATAATTCGTGTCCAGTCTACATCTTTTTTATGGATAAACTTGGTAGGTTCTCATTCTACACAAGGATTGCCCATGACCCAAGGGTTTTTCATGACCTTGACCCAAGGTCATTTGGGGAAGTTCAAGGTCACTGGAAGAAAAAGTTCATAATTCATGTCCGGTCCATATCTTTCTTATTGATAAACTTGGTAGGTTCTCATTTCACACAAAGATTGCACATGACTCCAAGGGTATGTCATGACCTTGACCCAAGGTCATTTGGGGAATTTCAAGGTCACTGGAAGAAAAATTTCATAATTCATGTGTGATACATATCTTTATTATGGAAAAACTTACTTCTAAAAAAAAAAACCCAGCGGGGGGTATTTTGTCCCGTTTGGGCAGTTCTAGTTATTTGTAATTTTGATGGAAAAATATGTTTATAGACTTTAATATCATGGTGATGATAATTAAGGAATGACTCTAATTCTTGGCCATATTATCGAGTATAATCTGGTTTGGGTCAGTTTACGCTTTATAATCCCTGAAGCGGATTATAAAAAAGCGTAAACTGACCCAAACCAGATTATACTCGATAATATGTCCAAGAATTAAAGTTATTCCTTATAATTTAATTTTAATATAATTAAACAACTGTTGACGTAAAATTGCGTTGCTTTTTACATGTTTTATAAGTTCAAATTTACCGTGCAATAATACAACCCTAGTAACGGAAGTGATTTGAAGCGAGGGGAGGTAATAACTGATACATAGATCTAGCAGCCATGATGTTTGTTTACATGAGGTAAGAACGAGTAATTGTTTAAAGTTGAAGGTACATTTATTAAATCTGGAATTTTCCATGGATTCCGAGGACTGGAAATGAGGGGATTGCATGGATATGATGATTAAGCTGGTCGTCAAGGGGGTGTGTCCCCATACCAAACCAGATTATACAAAATGTTTTGCGTTCCTTTTTGGAAATCAACCAATGAGAGGCGAGAATACAAACAAAAATTAAATTATTGAATGATGACAATTATGAATTTATGTAATCTGATGATTATGATGATAATGATGATGTTCTATAGATTGTTAATCATGATGATAATTACAGGACGGGGGAGAAGTTAGAACTGAGACACGTCTTGGAGGGTCATCAACTGGGGGTGGTCTCTGTGGATATGAACCTGAGTGGAACATGTAAGGATCTTTGATCTCTGATTCAGAGAAAAAAAAATGGATTCTTATACATGTTGTGAAATGACTTGTAATGATGATTTTTTGGACTTACATGTAATCATTGAGAAAACATTACTCACATGTAATAAATTCATTCATATGGGTATTATAAAATCATCTGTTTTTTGCAAAATTTAGGGAATTAGAATTCCTGTATGTTAATTGATAAAACACCTGTGAAATTATTTTTCTTAATTTTTAAAAATTTATTTAACAGTGAAAGCTACATTTTGAATTTTTGTTTTCAACTTATTTCAATCTGCAAGTGTCCAAAGAAAACATATATTAAAATTGGTTTAATATACCTTGTCTGACTTTTATAAAGTTACTGAAGTTCACATCTCTATTTTTCAGTGGCTGCGTCCAGCAGTTTAGACAGTCATGTACGAGTCTGGGACGTAGACACGGGGAAATGTATCAAAAGTATGGAGGCCGGACCAGGTAAAAATCAATTCCTTGTTGTTACACATAGTTGAACTTTGGTATCTCAAACACTGATATCTCCAATACCACGGATAAATCAAAGTGATTTAGAATTCCCAACCATTTATTGTGTAAATATTTTTCTCTCAATATCTTGAATTTTATTGAGTTCAAGATAACATGGTTTTTGATTTAAACTAATAAAATATATGCCTGCACAGTAAAACTTGCTTAGTACGAACACAAATATTACGAATTCACTGATATAGCTAAGTTGTCTTGTATCCCCAGCTATATAAAATTAATGATTTTCTTACACGGATATTATGAATTACGGATATAGCAAAGTAATTTCATAGGTCCCATGGACTTCGTTATAACCAAGTTTTACTGTATACATTTCATAACTATATAAAAAATATATTTAAAACAATAGATAAATTCACCAAATATATGTAAAAAGATATTATGACATTCTACTAATATTTGTTTCTTTACAGTTGATGCCTGGACTCTTGCTTTTTCTCCGGACTCCAGAATTTTAGCGACAGGAAGTCACAGCGGAAAAATAAACCTGTTTGGAGTCGAGTCGGGACGTAAGGAAGAATCACTTGACACCAGGGGGCGCTTCACCCTAAGTATTGCTTATGTAAGCCAAAAACGTTCTCGAGTGCATTAACTTTAGATTTATTTTTGATATTTAAGCCAAAAAAGTTAACAAACATAATGACTTCAAATTTATTTTTGATTCAAAAGATGAATTGTCCTGACTTTGAAAAAGATTCTTAACTTGTTTTTCCACTTTGTAGAGTCCGGATGGAAAATTAATTGCCTCGGGTGCAATTGATGGAATTATAAATATATTTGACACACAGACAGGGAGACTTATCCACACGTTAGAAGGTAAATCTTCAGTCAAAGCTCTTCATGGAATACTATGATTTCTCATAAAATTATAAATCAATAAACTGGGTGCCTGAAATGTTGGGTAAAAATTACAGAATATTGAAAAATATATTGGAATTATTTGAGAATATTGTGACATCACAAATTTTCATGGGGGTTTAATTTTTGTTAAGAACAGATGCATGAATTCATGTCCACCATGAAATGTAAAATGTTACATAATTACTCAGCAGTTCTTTATCCACAAAATCAAATCCCCATAAACCAAGAGTACATGTATTTCCACAAACTGTGAAAATTTGACCCTATGAAGATATGTGATTTTACAGAATGATAATGTAGTGTTCCCTTGTTATCTATGTAATAAAATTTAATATTATACGTGTATAATATTAATTTCAGGTCACGCCAAACCCATTAGGTCGCTGTGTTTTTCACCGGATTCTCAGCTTTTGGTTACAGGTTCAGATGATAACCAGATCAAAATTTATGATGTGTAAGTTTTTACTTCTTCAATCATTAATAGTACATTGTATGTTATGAAGTGCCATTTCTGAGGAATTTAATACACTCTGTGGTGTTATTCCTTATTTCTCACGGACTTTTAAAGTACTGTGAAATTTGGTTTTGTTAACACGAACTTCCTTTTTGTGAACTACGTCTGTATCTCATGCCCAGTGCTTACTTTACCTTACTTTATAAACTTATGGAAATAAAGTGGTGTCAGTTATTGAGTTGTCTCTCTTTGTAGACTGGGAACTTCCCTTTAATACGGTTGTAATTTTTTTTCCCACAGACAACATGCCAACTCAGTAGGGACCCTGTCAGGTCACGGTTCCTGGATTCTCAGCGTGGACTTCTGTCCTGATAACACACATTTTGTTTCCAGGTGAGTGTCAAAAATAACAATCTTTACTGGTAAATCTCCCAATACTTGGTACATGGCTGTATTGAATTATGAGAAACTACTGGATAGTTGTCAGAAATTATTTTTCATAGATGTGTAAGCATGTTGATGATGAAAAAATGATCCAATTTCTAATATTCAGCAGTTTGAAATGATTTAACAATAGGATAAACTCATCAAGTCATGTACTTAGAAAGCAGTGATAGTTTACAGATGAACTCTCAGGCCTGTCTCTAAGACCTGGGAGTCAGGGAATTTCATTGCCTATAATGGTATAAATCACCAGTTATTTTGATATACTCTCAGTTCTCTGTAAGGGAGTGAACCTCAAATCCCTTCTGATTTTTTTATGCCCCCTTTCGAAGAAGGGAGGGCATATTGCTTTACTGCTGTCTGTCGGTCGGTCGGTATGTCGGTCTGACCGTCCATTTAGTTTCCGTTCATTTTCTTCACAACTGTTGCACATACTGAAATGAAATTTGGTATACAGGTATATCGGATGAATATCTAGGTCAAGTTCTGCTTTGGGTACAATCGCACCATTTTTGACAGAGTTATGCCCCTTGGACTTAGAAAAATTACAATTATTTGCAGTTTCCGTTCATTTTTAGCTCACCTCAACGAAGTTGGGGGGAGCTTATGTGATACCCTCGGCGTCGGTGTCGGGGTCGGCGTTGGCGTCCCAGGTTAAGGTTAAGGTTTTTGGAGCAGTTTTCTTTTTAATTACTTCTGTGTCCTATACTGATTAGACATGCATGGAAAATGGTTTTAGTGTGTTTTATTGTACCAGACAAAGTTTCAGATGCTGCAATTTCAGCAAAGGAATTACCAGGTTAATGTTTTTGGAGCAGGTTAACATTTTTGGTGCAGTTTTTGGTGTGGGTTTCATTTCCAAGTAACTATCAGGCCTATGTTGACCAAACTTGCATGGATGATACATCTAAGGATGCATACTACCGGGCTTGCTTCGGATGCTGAATCTGACCTACATTTTCCGGTTGAGTGAACAGGTTAAAGTTTTTGGTGCAGGTTTCATTTCCAAGTAACTATAAGCCCTATGTTGACCAAACTTGCATGGATGATACATCTAAGGATTACCGGGCTTGCTTCGGATGCTGAATCTGACCTACATTTTCCGGTTGAGTGAACAGGTTAAAGTTTTTGGTGTAGGTTTCATTTCCAAGTAACTATAAGCCCTATGTTGACCAAACTTGCATGGATGATACATCTAAGGATGCATACTACCGGGCTTGCTTCGGATGCTGAATCTGACCTACATTTTCCGGTTGAGTGAACAGGTTAAAGTTTTTGGTGCAGGTTTCATTTCCAAGTAACTATAAGCCCTATGTTGACCAAACTTGCATGGATGATACATCTAAGGATGCATACTACAGGGATTGCTTCGGATGCTGAATCTGACCTACAATTTCCGGTTGAGTGAACAGGTTAAAGTTTTTGGTGCAGGTTTCATTTCCAAGTAACTATAAGCCCTATGTTGACCAAACTTGCATGGATGATAAATCTAAGGATGTAACTACCGGGCTTGCTTCGGATGCTGAATCTGACCTACATTTTCCGGTTGAGTGAACAGGTAAAAGTTTTTGGTGTAGGTTTCATTTCCAAGTAACTATAAGCCCTATGTTGACCAAACTTGCATGGATGATACATCTAAGGATGCATACTACCGGGCTTGCTTCGGATGCTGAATCTGACCTACATTTTCCGGTTGAGTGAACAGGTTAAAGTTTTTGGTGCAGGTTTCATTTCCAAGTAACTATAAGCCCTATGTTGACCAAACTTGCATGGATGATACATCTAAGGATGCATACTACCGGGCTTGCTTCGGATGCTGAATCTGACCTACATTTTCCAGTTGAGTGAACAGGTTAAAGTTTTTGGTGCAGGTTTCATTTCCAAGTAACTATAAGCCCTATGTTGACCAAACTTGCATGGATGATACATCTAAGGATGCATACTACCGGGCTTGCTTCGGATGCTGAATCTGACCTACATTTTCCAGTTGAGCGAACAGGTTAATGTTTTTGGTGCAGGTTTCATTTGCAAGTAACTTTAAGCCCTATGTTGACCAAACTTGCATGGATGATACGTCTAAGGATGCACACTACCAGGCTTGCTTCGGATGCTGAATCTGACCTACATTTTCCGGTTGAGTGAATAGTTAAAAGTTTTTGGTGCAGGTTTCATTTCCAAGGAACTATGAGTTCTTTAATGACCAGTCTTGCATAGATGATACATCTAAGGATGCATACTTCCAGGCTTGCTTCGGAAGCTGAATCTGACCTACTTTTTGTGGATGAGTGAAAATTTTAGTTTTAATGCATGTTTCATTTCCAATAAACTATGAGCCCTATAATGAGCAAACTTGCATGGATGATACATCTAAGGATGCACACTAATGGACTTGCTTCGGATGCTGAATTGGACATACATTTTTCAGATAATAGACAAGGTAAAAGTTATGGTTGCAGGTCTATTACCATAAACTATAAGGCTTATATAACATTGTATAAACCAAACTTTCACAAATGCTGCATCAAGAGATGAAAACTCTCAAATATGCTTCAGATGCTGGATTTTCATTACATTTTCATGAAGAAGAAGTAGTTTAAATTTTTTATGTAGGTCTATTTCAAAGTATCAGATCAAAATTGCTTTTAAAAATATTTTCATTTTTGGAATGTATACTTTTTGTTGGTTAATTGTGTGACTTTGCCTTACTTAAAGACAACATTCGTTGAGGTGAGCTCTGTAATCTCTGATTACCTATGTTCTTTGGAGAGGTTGCACATATTGAAATGGAATTTAGAATACACATTAGCCAGATGAATATCTAGGTCAAGTTCTGTTTTGGGTACGATCGCACCATAATTGACAGAGTTATGCCCCTTGGACTTGGAAAAATTCTAATTATTTGCAGTTTCCGTTCATTTTCTTTGGAGAGATTTCACATATTGAAATGGAATTTAGTATACAAATAAGTCAGATGAATATATAGGTCAAGTTCTGTTTTGGGTACGATCGCACCATAATAAACAAAGTTATGCCCTTGGACTTAGAAAAATTTTAATTATTTGCAGTTTCCGTTCATTTTCTTTGAAGAGGTTGCACATATTGAAATGAAATTTAGTATACAGATTAGTCAGATGAATATCTAGGTCGAGTTCTGTTTTGGGTATGATAGCACCATAATTGACAGAGTTATGCCCCTTGGACTTAGAAAAATTACAATTATTTGCAGTTTCCATTCATTTTCTTCAGAGAGGTTGCACATATTGAAATGGAAATTTAGTATACAGATTAGTCAGATGAATATCTAGGTCAAGTTCTGTTTTGGGTATGATCGCACCATTTCTGACAGAGTTAGACCCTTTTGGACTTAGAAAAATTCCAATTTGTGGGGGAGGGGGGCATAAGTGTTTTATAAACATCTTTTGTTAAATGTCATACTCCCCAACTATTTCAATTCTTAGGGAAAACTCTTTTTTTTCTTAGAAAAAGAGTCGATATGAGTAAGTGTATTTATCATATACTAGATTTTTATTGTAATGTAGTAATGATATTGTTTAATTTTACATTGTCACTTTTTTTAACACAGTTCGTCAGATAAGACAGTTAAGATCTGGAATGCTGGTAGCAGACAATGTGTACACACCTTCTATGACCATTCTGATCAAGTAAGTCCAACACCAGGGGTAAAACCCACTTCATCCCCCAACCCCCCCCCCCCCCCCCCCCCTCTCCTAGTACTGTTAACGTCCTCACTCTTGTGCCATTTGATTGGATAAGAATTCTGCTTAACATTGTATAAGCTGTGCTACCTATGACACAATGACTTGGATAAAAAAAATTTCAATCCACTTTATACAAATCAATGTTTTTACATTGTATTTAGTATATTGACGTATTTTAGAGTTCTTGATACTAAAAGATGATGGAAAAATATTTTACAAATACATTTGTAAAATTTTTGATACTGAAGGTTAATAAACAATAATTTAAGAAATGTATTAAGTACTTTACACATCTCTGTTTTTTTACTGGTGAGTTATGGATATAATTTGATTAGTTCAAAATTGGCCCTTATCTTTATAGGTATGGAGTGCCAAGTATAACAGCGCGGGGTCTAAGATCGTTTCCGTCTCTGATGACCGCGCGGTCCACATCTACGACTGTCCCCCGGTCTGAGGCTGACCATACAAACCACTCATCATCACAAAATCATCGCATCCTACATCGTACCTGTCATCTTCATCAGACAGTGTTTTATATAATAATGAAATTGACTGGGGGATTTCCTGGACTGTAAAAGGAATTGTTATGCCTATTACGAAGACCACGGCATTTTGTATGTTATGTTGCTTTTCTGTGAAAAAGAAATTAACATACAGAAAATTAATAATATTAATACATGTAACTTTGTCATGTTGTTGAGTTGAAGTAGCATATTCAATGTGGAAGGTGATGCTCAAAATCTTTTTTGAAATACTTGATGAAATTTATTCTATAAATTTGGGGATTTCAAGTATTATAAATTTATGTTAATATGTACATAAAACTTTTCACAGATTTTAGGAAAATATTTCACACGAATGAGCAAGGTTAATGACGTAATCAATAAAAGGATAAGTCTTTATGCGTTTGTTGTGTATATTTCCCCCTCTTTTTATATCAATTTTTCCAATGATTCTATCTGTTTGTTCATTATGCAGGAATACATGTATTGGGTAATGCCCACGAAAATGTATAAATGAGCTTGACGTTAAATCGCAATAACTGTCTATACAGGAGAAAAACAATTATTTGAAAACTCTTACTTTTTTTCAAGACGTAAGAAATAAAAAAAAGATGCACAGATGAAAATTCAATGATAACCCATATGTTTATATGGAATCCGTATAGGAACATGTAATTCATTATAGCCTCATCACACCTGCAGCGAGATAAGGTCGACAGTGCGATAATGATGAAGCTATAACGTGATGACGGTTATGCGATTGTGCGACATGAGATGACGATGGTGCGATCTAACACGATGGCGCGATATTGCAATTCTGATGACGCGATGATGCGATAACAATGTCGCGAAAGTAAGATGAAGCGATATTCACTATTCCTCCATCTTGCTATCGTATCATCGTCATCGTATTGTCGCTCCATCGCATTATTATCGTGCCATCGACCCTTAAGTCGATGCTCGATGCAGTGATAATGAATTCAACTGCATAGCTCTATCAAGATTCCATAAGTATATTGTAATGCATAGAGACATAAAAAATACGTTATTCCTATAGATATACAGGAAAATGTGTTTTATACAGATCACGTAAAATTGAGAATTAAATGTTACCCGCCCTCGTGTTTGTACACGTATGCTTTAATTAACATGAACATTTGTTACGATTTTTATTCTTCCGGTATCGTATTTCTAATAGCATTTTTATGTAAAACATGACCTAGACTTTACGGAAAAAGTTACTCAACAGAATGATAAAAATAATTGCAATTTAATTAATTAAAGTATTTAAAATTTGTAAGAGGACCGACAATTATAAAAATGTTGGGTTCATTTAATTTCTTCATCATTAATGTTTTGTATTGCGGTAAAATGTTTTATGAAAGATGAGTAGGGTTAAGATATGATTAACCAAAATTAATCCATTTAATTAAAAATACTTATAGTCTTAATTGCAGTTGTCACAGCACAGGAATGGGAATTTACTTTGTCTGTCAGATGGAAAGAGAGAAAAAATGTTCTTAAAACCACATCACAAGAAATTTGTCTTGCATGTTATGCACGATTTGTCTGAGTTATTCCGAAATTTAATTATTACCGTAATTGGACTAACGAGTTTTGTAATATCCCCAGGATATTCAAAATTAACGGAAATGAGAAGAGTTTTTTTAAAAAAAAATTATACAAAATTTTATTCACAAATAAAAGTGAATGAGATTGGGCAGCAGGTTAAGCGTATTTCAGCCCTCTCCCTGGCGAGACAAGAGCTTTGTACATGTGAAAAAAATTATATTTTTTTTCCTAATCTCTCTTTCATAATTCATGCCTAAATTGTCTAATACCTATACCTATACAAGTAATGAAAAAATATAAAAATTATATAAATTGAAATGGATAATTTGTGATACTTTTTTTGGGATGTATTATTTGGTGACTTTTGAGAAAGAAATAGACCATTTTGGAAGAAAAAGGTCCTTGTATTTCTCGGAACTTTTATTTTTTTTTATCTCCATTTGTATTAACAAACTGACGTGCGCGGCCGGTTGTAGTAGAAGTGGTCCACACCCCCCCCCTTCCCCCTGGAACACGGAGATTGGCTAGAAGAGTCATATAACAAAACTATGACCCCCCAAAATAATGTATTTCATTAAATTTCAAATGAACGATAAGTTTAAATGATTACACGAGAAAATGTCATGTAATTATTTTCAACTTTACATTGAAATTTAATAAGACATTTTGGTTTCTCGGGATTTGATATTTTTATAGTCGAGTCTCTCTCTTCTGTTTTGTTACATGTAAATGTACTTCATTTTATGCTGTACTAACATGCTTGCGTATTGTTTAAGGGTGCACCTCATCTTCGCACGAGAAGAATAAATAAAAAAAAATTAACTTGAATCAACACTTGTTTGGCGATGCAATTAAACCAACAAGGACAATCTAGTAATGCTTTACAAAACAACTTACGACCAAAATAAGAATCTTTGGGTAATTGTAAAAATCTGCACAATAATTATTCTTATAACATTCAAGGTACAATTTGCATACATGAAATAATATAGTTTTAAAAATATTAGAGCAATTTCATATCGTACAAATAGAAAAGAAAGATATTTGCAAAATTGCATTTTGGTCATATTCGTAAGTTCCTCAGTATGTGTAACGGGGCGCTGAATAAATAATTCCCATATCTCTTGCACCTATGAAGTGTGAGAAAAAGCGTAAAATGGTTATAATATTGTACGCAATGCGTAAAAAATCAGTGTTATGTCAACTTCTAAATTACGGCACAACACCGTCAAAGACAACCAAACAAAACCCGAGACGACAATGGTGTCATCTCATGACGTCACGAAGCACCCCGGGGGGCAGTGTTAACAAGACACAGTCCCCGCCCCCTAACGAATATCTTCACCCTCAATATACGATAGTGTTTAGCGAATCTCCAAAAACACGTGTTTTTTAATACACAAAATGTTGCTATACAGTTTCCAAGTGACAGTTGGAAGATAAATGTTAGCCCGATGTGACGTTCACAAAATATTGGGATTTCATATTTACCCATTATTTCCTAAAATGAAGATTTCTTAAAATTAATGTGCATTGTTTAAATTTTGTAGATTTTTGATAGAATATTTGTAATTAATATAATGGCCATAACCAGTATTAGTGCTACTTTCATTGTGATATTTCTACAATTTGGAGAAGTGTTTGCTCAGGTAAGTACCTTTATATTAATTATATGTATTTACAAATATTTTTATTCATTTATTTATTTTTTGCTTTAAAGAGATTTATATGCGTATTTTATTATTATTTTTTAACTGGGTTTTGTCATGAAATAGAACATGACACAAAACGTGACCAAATTGTCTGCCGACTACTAGTATGTTGACCGAAGCAAGTCGGCTTGACCACATGTAAACTTCGCAAATTCAAAATTTTGTACAAGATTTTTATGCATAAAATCTTTCATGTGAAATAATAAAGTAAAATTACAACTTTGCATTTTAGGTAATAAAAAATATGGTTTTGTCTTTCCTTTTCTCTTCAGGACCATCCCTCACCCCTTTCAATTTTACCTTTTAAAAATGTACTTCTTATGCAATTATGAACGAATATTAGATATGAAAATAAAAATTTATAAATAAATTTTTATTTTTATAAAAGAAAAAAAAATAATATTATTAGAATTTCTCAGGAGTATATAACACTTTATGAAAAATGATACATTCATTCCCAAAATTTATTCATATATTTGACCTAGAATGACCATAAAACGTGTTTTTATAAACGCCTGCATATGTATTTGTACCTAGTACATGTCATGACGGTCAGTTTCTCCATTAATCTTTTACCGTTACAAAGTTAAATTGGCGGAACCAGATTTTTTCCAACAACTATGTCCATGCAATTGACAAAGATGAAAATTTATTTTTTCTGATCTATTTCTTAATACAGAAAAATCTGATAAATGTAGTTTAAATTTGAGAAATATAAAATAAAACAGTAAGGGGTAAATACAGGCTGAATGGGACTTTTCTATACACCGAGATTATAAATACATTGTATGTTTTGTTTCAGTCTTGCATTCGTGTTTCAACTTCTTAAAAATTAACTTCTTAACCTTGAAGTTCAAATGGAGTAAAAGCACAGAGACATGAAATTAATGAAGCTATTTCCGGGTTTATCAAAATATAATATATAACTTTTATTGACTTTATTTTTTATTTTATTAAAAAGACAGCCCCGTATCTCTGCATAAAAAATAAAATTAATAAATGTCTATTCGACAGCTGAATAAATGCTATGAAATAATCATTGTTCGTGGGTGGTGGGATGGGGGACCAATGTTCAAAGAATTCATGGATCACCCTTACCCAAGAATTTACTTCACCACGAAAGTTTAAAATTAACTTAATTACTCAGCTACCTGGATTTAAGAAAAAGTATAAATGACAAACGAGAGAAATTTTTCAAACACAGCTGTCAGAACTATAATTATTATTTTCTGTATCACTACCACTTCGTCATTAAACATTTAATTAACTACTCGTTAATAATAAGACAAAAAGCATTTACACATGAATGATACAGATATTTCCTCTCATCTCTATTTTTTGTTTAAAAACGTTTACAAATTCCGACAATTTATTTAGTAGTATTATGCCCACATAAGTACTATTAATGAAATTCACGATATAACATAAATATGAAACATGTGAATTAATAATTTTACTAGAGACGTTTTATCTAATTCTTGTAACATTCTTTTTTTAACAGGGAAACCAGATTGCCTCATCCAACAGAATTGTCGCTGGTAAGTTTTACACTTGCTGAAAAAAGTGTAGGTAGGCGTTTTTCCCTGGACTTGTAAACATCTAAGTAAAACAAGACAAAGAAATGGTAAAGTACTGCAAAACGTTTCTTTTGACAAATTATGATACAGGAAAAATCCGAAAATACAAATAGTCAGAAAAAGGTATTTTTTCTAAGCCTTAATATACATGATAAATACGTATATATCCTCTAATTTTGCAAAGCATACATAAAAAAAGCTACATGAACCTCTTTAATTTTCGAAATTAAAGATTTGCCATTTTCTGGAAAACAAATGAAAAACACTATGGAGAAATGAACATTTCAATACATTCAACTTTGTAACATTTTAACATATTTTTAAACATATTTTTAACTTTGGTAAAATGAGAGCTTTCAATAAATGAATAATATGTTTATTTTCTTCAAGGAGGCAGACCGTTTGAAGTTGTGCAGGCAAACGATGGGAGGCGGATCCTAGTGTTTCTTGAAGAGGGAGGTGGCAGACGACAAGTTCAGACGTTGTCGTCACAAAGTCCGGATATTGCCGAGACCTTCCCTCAGGACCTCTCCTCGTTGTCAAGGAGACAGCGCCGTGGTCTGGAAAGCTTACGAAGAGACCTGATCAGACGCGTACGAAGGCGTACAAATTGGAGTCGATACACAATACAAAGAGGTCAGAATGGGGTTCCTGAATTGGTTCGTAGAAGAAGTAGACGTCAGAGGGCGCTTTCAAGAGACGACGTCATACACATGATTCGGGTAATCAACCAGTATCTATCTGGACAACTAGCAACAGCTGGGATCCAAGGAACAAGCAGTTTATCAACATTATTCACTTCACAAATGACTTCACCTTTAACGTCAACTTTTAGATCAAGTTCAACAACGTTTAACCCAACGACTTCAACAACAAGAAGAACAACCACCTTAAGACCGATTTCAGTTGTGTCATCAACAACCCCGTCATCTCGAATAACAGAGTCACAGCGATTAATGCGACAGCTTAGAGAAGAGGAACAAAGACTTCTATCTCTCATGCAGACTACGACTTCACCAACCACAAGTCTTACAACGGCTAATTCTATTGTAAGCAGTCTAAAAGACAACGAAAGACAACTTTTACGAGAACTTGCTAATTTAGAAAGAACTACAATACTACCACCGACTTCCCAGATGACACCGAGCTTATCTTCCAGAGAGTCAATCCTCAACAAAACACGGGCGGACATTGTGTCTGTGACCCGGGATCTTCAACTGGTACAAAATGCACTTCTACAGAGACTTAAAAGGGGGGACATCATGAACAATGAACGTAATACGCAAAGTAATGCTGAACTTATTCGTCTTCGAAATATGGAGCGAAATCTTCTTCAAAGACGTCGATTTCTACAAGAGAACCAGGCTAAGCAGCTTTCACACGATCGAATTCAACCTATTGCTAAAGAGAGGCGAGATGAAATAATGACATCGATTGATAACATGCTGAACAGACAACCAATAGAGTCATCCCCACTTACTGGCGACCTTCAGAAAACCAATACAATTCATTCGAGGTTTGAAAATGTTTTACTTACACTTGAAAATGTCTTAAGTAAAGGCGAACAATTGTATCTCATTCGTATTCTCGGTGAAATAGAAAAAGGAATAAAAGTGGACAGAAACAATATGCAGCTCAATCAACTTTTGCAAAAACTTAACAATTTGTTATCTAGTACCGATTACTTTTTCATTAGAAACTTGTTGCTGGGAGATAGCAATGAAAGCTTAACTAAATCTGTCACACAAGAGCCAGCGAACAGTCTGTCTGATTTACCGAGTAATCAAGCCCAATCTTTCCATTCAAATGATATAGACAAAATAGCTCAAATTGTACAAGCGCATCTTCAACCTCAGGAACAAGAAATTGTATTGAAACTTTTCTCATTGAATCATCAGAATGGGTCACATCTTCAAACACCGTATGTCCGTCTCATTCTTCAAAAGCTTCAGAAACTACTTACTTTCTCGGAATACAAAACTCTCGAAAGCCTGATAAACGGAGGGACTGAACGAAACCAGCAACCTGTTGCACATGCTCATAATGCAAACAAGAGAATCGAGCCAGGAACACATCAAATATCTCAGACACATCATCATTCGAATCTGATGCAACAACAGATAGAAAATACTAACAACATAATCTCTCCCCACACATCCGAATTTGTAGGTCAGCAGACAATGATGCAACAGCAAAATCAGCTTCTAAACCAACACTCAGCTTTGAATGGTCAGACTGGCATTCATCAGATGGGCAATGTTCCTGGAACATCACTTGTCTTCCCTGGAGCGATTAATCAGATGATCCATCCAATGATTCCCCGCCTACCATCTGCTTTTATGCAAGAACTCATGTTTGGTGACACAACGGACCCCCCTGATATCCCTGACCCCAGCACCCCACCCCCAACAAAGGCACCAGAGGCAACTGTGTTGGCCTCAAAGATGGGGGTAGCAGATCAGGTGTCTTCTTTTTCAACAGTAAAAAGGGGAGATGTAACCCTTAACAAACTACCAACCTCTACCCCGAGTCCTAATTCTGATACGAGTAATAATTCCAAGATGATATCCTCGCACATTAATACAATAATGAACGTATTGAAAACTTCTGGGATTCCTAAAAATGTCAAACTAGAGTTCCATCTACCACAACATATGCAGGTTGAAAAAGAGCGCTTGTCAAAGGCGGAAAACAAAACAGAACATTTCCCTAATCCAGTCTTTACACCACACATCGCAAAACCAGCGGTTAAGTTTCCTTTTAAACTCGAACAAAAGGCCAAAAATACTCAACCTGGCGGTAAAAAAGATTACATAATACTAAATAATCAACATTCTCAAGTTTTCGAACCTTTCCATCAGACAGGGGAAGTCACTCCAGTTCGTGTTCAAGTTCTTGATTCTCAAACAAAAAATAAACCTACGTTTCATGGACCCCTTCCTAACCCCGCCGTTTTCGAACCTTTCCATCCGACCAGGGAAGTTACTCCAATTCGTGTTCAAGTACTTGATTCTCAAACAAAAAATAAACCTACTTTTCATGGACCACTTTCTAACCCACCTGTTCAGGATAAATACCATGTAATCACCGACAACCAAAAGGTTGATTCAAGGAGCCCTGGAAATTTCTCAAATATGAAGACATTGAATTATATTCGGGAGACTCCGATTGTTCATAATGATCAACAATCTCCGAGAAATACTAATTTTCAAAACTTCCAAACAAACTTGAATCTGAGCTTCACGAACCTCATCAAAGATAGATCTGGGGATAATGAGAGAGGGTCTCGTAGATTACCCCCGGCACCAAAGTCTATAGAAGAACTTGAACAGATGAATAAACTGCATTTTCAAATTCCATTAAAACAGTTGTTTCCGGGTCCACTTACGCAAGAGTTGCCCCAAAGCATCAAACACCAATCTACATTGGATATAAAACGTAGAGTGCCTCCAACTCCACCAACCTCTCAAGTGCAATTTAGAAAAGAAAATTTCGGACATATCCAAAACTTTCAGCCCAAAGCAATATCATCTCTTTCGCAGTCTGGTGCATTAAATCAAGTTTCCAGCAAGATGGCCACTGTAGCAGTTACATCTGATATTAGATTAGGACCAATTTTGCCAACTAGAAACATGCTTACGAATGCAGAGCAGTCAAATGTACTAGACAACCCAAAGAACGTTATTGACAACAGTCACCATTATACTCATGTATCATCAGATAGCAGTGTCAAGCCTACAATGAATTTCATGACTGAATCCAAAAATCTTGAAAATATAAATCAAGACATTGAGAGGAATTCTGCTAATGAAATGAATGTGATTCACTATACAAAGCCTGTATCAAATAAACAAACAGAGGGTATCCCCGTAACCATGCCACCTCAGCAAAATCCCTTCAGTGTTTCTCAACCAAACGAATTTCTACAAAAGACAACGGACCAAGGCAGGAAATGGGAAGATGTAAAGAAGCTAGAGAAAGCCGCTGATAATCAGATAAAGAACGTTATCTTGCACAGCGGTGGTCAGGTGAAAACTTCTTTCTGGGATAACCTTATACAGAAAGCAAGGTCAGGCACTTCATCTAACCCAGTAATTAAAATCAATCTAGGTTCAAATCTAATGGAGCCTCCTTCACTAAGTGAAAAGAAGGTCAATGTCAACAACGCGAATGTAGAAGAGGTAGAGGCTGAAGACACAACTACCACCACAACTACAACTACTGCCAAACCAAACGAGGAGTTCCGAATGGAAATTCACACTAGTCAAGATGGCGTCAGTAAGATAAGCATTATTCCACAGGCGACTCAAGGTGATAAACTGAATTCAAAATGCACACCATCATCAGAAGATTTCATTTGTTCTGGCGTGGCGCCTTTCGATTCCGTAAGATCTATTGGAACATGGTGCTTGGCCAAATGTTTACAAGGATCTTGTGTAGAAACTGTATGTAACTGTTCATGTGACAGGAGGCTTCAATCTTCCTCTGATCACGTACAAGGAGAAAACATGGCTTTCGCACTTACAAAGGGAGATAACTCTAATTCTCCTCAAATACAGGCAACACTTAATGAAATCTACTCTTCTTTGAAGGGAAACACGAACTCTCAAGCTCAAACAAGTGGTAATGATTTTTCAGGAAGGAATGGGAACGTTGATAATGGAAATGGCCACAGAATGAATGGGCAGAATGCAAATAACAGACAAGGTGGAGCGCCCAATGATCCCATGAATGTCCAGTTCCTGCTCCGGTCAATAGAAGGCATGATAGAAAACAAACTTCGCAGACTGACTCCAACGACCCCTCCCGCAGAGGAAGTGGAGGCAGAGGACATCGTGACAACCCCTCCCCCAAATAATAACTGGAATAATGGAAATAATAACAATAATGGGAATAACTGGAATGATAATGGGAACGGGAATAACAATGGGAATAATGACAATAATAACTGGAATAACAATAATAAAGGCAATAACTGGAATACCAATGGAAATAACGATAATGGAAATAAATGGAATAACAACAATAATGGGAATAGCAACGGGAATAATGACAATAATAACTGGAATAACAATGGAAATAATAACAATAATGGAAATAACTGGAATAACAACAATAATGGGGATAATGGGAATAACTGGAATAACAATGGAAATAAAAACAATAACTGGAATCATAATGGAAACAATAAAAACAATAATGAAAACGGCTGGAATAATAATAATGGAAATTGGAATAACCAAAACAGTGGGAATAATTGGAATAACAATGGTAATAATGGGAATAATAATCCAAATAACTGGAACAATAATAACTATAATTGGAATAACAATTGGAATAATGGAAATCAATGGAGCAATAATGGTCAGAACAATGGGCAATGGCAAAACTGGAACGGACCAAATAATTCCGGATGGAACGGTCCGCCTCCGTATTGGAATCAAGGACAATGGAATAATGGAGGCGGATCGAACAACCAGTGGAATAATTGGGGCCAACCTGGACACTGGAACATGGCCTTTTCCCGCCGAAATCAATGGCAGAGTCACGCAGGTGGCGAGGGTGCCGAAGCGGCAGACTGAGGGATTCACTTACTTGGGTCTTATCCGGAAGTGATGAATATTCTTAGACTGACGGGTCAAAGTTCATGTCTCAAAAGACTTTGATTTTTCCTCTCACAGTTTCTGAGTCTGTGCAATGCTGATAAAGTATATTGTCTCGGTTTATTATGAATTTGTGGTCTTCTGTTCATTCCCCGATAACATGGATAACACATTCTTCCTTGCCTCTGGTCAATAGCTTTAAAACAGAAGAGGCATGGGTGCAATATGAACTCGTTCATTGATGCCATACTAATTTAGATTTTTTAAAATTTGAAAGTATTTTTATGATGTATGTATAGATGACATATTCTCTTTGTTCAATCAAATCTTCGAAAACTGCATAATAATAATGAATGGTGAGTCCGGAGAGAGAGAGAGAGAGAGAGAGAGAGAGAGAGAGAGAGAGAGAGAGAGAGAGAGAGAGAGAGAGAGAGAGAGAGAGAGAGAGAGAGAGAGAGAGAGAGAGAGAGAGAGAGAGTTCTGATTTAATTGTTTTACATGTACATGGTTTGTCATTTAATGTTAAGTCAATGTGAATTGATTAATGTAAAAAATATATAGACAGAAATAGACTCTACTTTGAAATGAAATACCCTTTTTCCAATATTGATGAGGTAAAAAATCAAGTTTTAATATTAAGTAAATTGATTTATTTGCATTTTTTTCTTTATCTTATATTTTTTCTAAATAATAAATGTAAAAATAAACGACTTATCTTACTCGTTTTTTTATTTATTATCAGAAATGTTGGCTTTCACGTCAAAATGTCAAAAGATTGCACATTTTTGGTATAACATCAACATGTATTATTATTTTGCAATTTTTTAAAGAGTATATTATAATAAAATACATGAAGATGTTTTAAGGAAGTAAATATTTACATTGTCCTCATTGCTGTTTCAATGAATGCAAAATTCAGAAGAATAAAAGTAACTTAGTCTGAGGAACAAAAATGTTTTTAAAAAATCTTAGAAAAATATGCCCTTTTCTAATGATATTAATATTATATGAGGTCAATGATCAAATTATTGAAATATGTTGTCTAAAATGGTTTTTGTTCTTAAATTTAATTATTTGAAAGCATTAAATTATTTGAAATAATTCATGATCTTTAATACACATAATATTTGCAAAATGATTTTTTTTAAAAAAACATTTCATTTTTACATTGTAATTCATATTGCAAGAAATAATTTATTTTGACAAAAATGGAAAATAAAAAATTTAGCCCGAAGTTTCTCTGCATCACCATATATTGTGTGACTTGTGTTCCTGTATATTTTCATAAGAAATAAGATATTAGATTTTTAAATTGAATTTGAATTAAATCGTGGTTATTTCAACCATTCAGAATAATTTTTGATTTAAGATATTATAGTTCATAAAATTTCAGCATTGCACAGACTTAACCCGAGTTAACGTCATCCTTAATCAACATAATAAAGAAGGAAAATAAATTCTTAAACAGAAAACACACATACTGGATAAACAGAAAAAAAAAAATTGAATAAAGCAAAGAAAATTTAATATGTATAAAGTATGTACAAATATAAGTAAATAAGCAGACATAAAGTGCACCCGATTCTTGTACAAGACTTGTACAATTTTTTGCTCTACTAAAAATGATTTTTTGGTATTTTTTTTATAAGAATATATTTTTAGATTGTTTAAAATTGTTATATATCTCATTTAATTTTAAAAACAAAATCTCTTATCCTTTCAAAAATAAAATGTTTTACTGATGTCAAAATATGCTTTTCTTGCTAAATGATGAATTTGATTTACGAATATGCACACAATATGTCAAATTATTGGCCATAAAATTGCAATTTATCATATAAACACGTAAGAAAAACGTTTAATCCTTTTTCACACGATAATTGTTTTTTCTGACAGCTGGGTTGTCTGCCCCTCGGGGTGTCGCGGCTAAACACAGGTATGACAGATTTTATTACCAGAAGCGAGAAACACGTTCAAAATAATGCGATTGTGGTAAAAAGATAAAAGATATACATTGAGCGGTCAACGGGGGAACGGTGCAGTACCAAATATATACGGTGTCATAAAAATCTCCTTTTTGGTGAATTTTCTAGGTTTCTTTGAAATTCGTGGTTTTTTTGGTCATACTTTACAATGCAACATACAGTCTTCTTTTTTATAATTTCAAAATTCCTGGCCTCCTTTGGGAACAAACTTTACATCATATGATAAATAATGAAAATGGCAACTTTCCATTTTTTTGCTACAAAAATAGACCAAAAATTATATTTCCATCCAGGCATCCTTTGTCCGGAAAACTTCATTATCTCAATATATTCAAATTTATTTTATAATTGTAGTTAACCAATGTTTTTTTCGTTTGTATGAATGTAATAGTTTTTAAGCTTCTTGTATGTTTGATATCTCAAACATAAATTAACAATTTTAACAATGAATAATTTTTATTTAGATATTAGATAATAAGATAAATTAAATCGTTATTATGAAAGAGAAATTCAGCAATTAATAGATGTTGTTATAATAGTAACATTAAACTAATACGAAGGAATAAGATTTCTGTAAATAATCAAAATATACAAATGTTTTTATATTTTTTTATTGACATTATTAACATTATTTTGGCATTAACAACAAGAACAAAGGGCAAAGATTTACAAACAACATTTAGAGAATTATAAGCAAAAAACAAACATCAAACAGGTAATTGTTCCGAGACAACAAGCTTCTTAAATCTGAGCTTTTTCTTTAAAAAATTCTGCAAGACATTAGATTTTTTTTTAAATTCAGACATTGCGCAAGGGAAAAAACATAGCTAACATGAAGAGTGTATGTATACTGAAAGAAAATCCATAAATGATCGGCATGTTTGATAACCATTATAGGTAATAAGTATATATGTATGTAGCTGTCTGATTGATTAAGTATTAGTCCTGATTGTCAATTGTTAAAAACACAATGTACTATGCCGCTTCAATATAGTAGCCACTCGAGTGACTGAAATTTATTTTTATACTTAAGGCAGTGCATTAACATCCCACGTTTCAAACGGGAGCAATATAAAAAAACGTGCTATATGTTTGTGACTTAATTTAGAATGATTTTAAAAGAGAAGTTGCTTCCTAACTCCGCCTGTGGCTAGAAGTAGCCAATATTAATTCAAAGATAAAAAGTGAAAAGAATTGGGTTAATAGTATGGTTCCCTGTCTACTCCCAACCAAACTACAGAAGTGTGTTCACATAGTCCTTCCATATATTGCGTGTCTGCCGTCAATAATACGGTCACTCTACTTTGATTGAAATTACGTTAATTACACTGTGAAATTAATTCATGCTATTAATATAATGGCTATTGATCTTAAATTGCACCTGACAAAAGAAAAAGATGACGGAAGTGGTATTCTAATCAAAACGTCTAAAATATAGCTATTAAAGTATTTATTCACCACGAGACCTTCTGACGTTCATCAACGTCACTTTAAAGAGTGAAAGAAGATCGAGAAAACTATCTGGAAAAATATATCAACCATTATTCATCATAACATAAACAGTTCTCTATGTTTGAGATAACTATTTTATACTTTTAGACGTACAGTTGTGTGGATTTAATTATGTAAACAAAAACATAAATAGGATTTTATTGAATGCTGATTAATATATAATCATGCCCATCAATCTTCGTGATCAATTGCAAAAGCAAGATAAGTGATTTATATGCTTCATATAAATAATGTTGGTTTTGTCAGTAGGGGTAAGGCATGTAAAATGTCTTTACTGCTCCAAATATAACTAACATCTTAAAATGATCCCTCAAAGACCAAATAATATTTGTAAGAGGCAAAGGGCCAGAAATAATCTATATTTTGTAGATGGCACGTGAATAAACCATTAGACTTTTTGAGTTCCCGCGGAACCGCCAGCGCGGAAGTCATATTCAGCTTGAGAGATGCATGAGCATGCGCATCTTTCAAAATTACATGCACCTTTGTGGCAATTTGAATTGCACCATCCCTGTACTCCGGGTGTACTGCCCCAGGAAGCCTTCGCATCACACCACAATTGTTCACCACGTGACAGACAGGAATCAAGTGTTTCTTTTCCGCCACCTATTTGATTACCAATGGCACCTCCCCCTAGATCACCGAGGGGTGCCATATCTGCAAGTCCAATAACTCCACCGGACGGTCCATGATCAATCGGACCCCCTTGGCCTTTTTCATTCACACCTCCTCCTACGTTCACACCGGGTGCTCCACTGAGATCAAGGCCACCAAGCATATCCGCCGGTATAAGAGAAGATAGGTCTAAATTAATGTTTCCACCGGATGCTGCGCCAGCGCCATTTTGAGGATCAGGCATGATGGGAATTTCTCCGACAGGTCCAGAGTTGGGCTGTGTTGGGTCCAGAAATGACATCTGGTCGTTGAAACCCGTACCATCTTGAATGACTGGATCAAACAGAGCTGTTAATATAGATTAAATAGTGATAATAATATAACGTTCAAAAATATTCACACATAAAACCAATTTTTATAAAAAAAATCTAGATATATATTCACTCTAAACATTTAAAATAATGTTGTAAGGGAAATTATTTCTACAGTGTTTTGGAATTTTATCTATCAGCCCAGAATATATGCACTTTTTACGTAAGGGTCAACAAATGCCAACACAATTGACAAAATGCGACTTCCCATGCGTAAACTTATGAACAAACAATCGCCCTAACGGTCGCTCTGGTAGTTCCGCAGTCATAAATATCCTGGGGACGAGCACAACACGTTTATGACATTTTTTATGATTATTATGGTCTGATCATAGACATACACGCCACATTACTGTTAGAGAGAAGGAATAAAGATGTGCTCTTTAAAAAAAGGAAAATGAGAACACTTATCATAACGGTAATGATTTCAGGACGTTTGAACTAAGTATTTAAAAGATGAATTTTAAAGCTAGTTTTTGCTTATGTTCATGGCATTTATATACTCACCGTCTATAGAAACGCAACACTCTAATCTAAGGGGTGAAAATTATGCACGGAATATAACTATGAACCATGCAAAAGGTTTATCAATGTCTTAACCGGATCAAAATAAATATTTTTGTGCATCTTTAAAAGCCTGTTTTTCAGATACTGAGGTCGAATTTTCTCTAACTTGGCGTAATGTAGAAACCCTTGCACTTCCGGTCAAGGAATTGTCATTCATGCTTTTGAAGCACATGAGCCCGAAAAGTCTTTATGTAGTGTATATTTGCATCTGTAGCTCTCCCTTTTCTTTATTTTGAGAACTTCAAACATTAGCAATGAAAATGCGTGCTTTCAGTTACTTTGAGGAAATACAGGCATATCACATCCGGAAAAGAAAGAAGGATATTTTTCCGGAATTTTAGTATAAGAATTATGATTAACAGGTACAAAACTTTGAAAACCCAAAATATTGTCAATTTTTGATTTCTGTTCAGGGGGCTAAAAATCAACTTCCGTTTACGGAATGAAAATTATTCAACCGTTAATTAACTGCTGTGGCAAAGTAAAAGATGTCCTATTTTTTGGCACATAGTTATATCCCGTACATAATTTTCACCCCTTAAATTAGGGTGTTGCGTTTCTATTGACAATGAGTATATGAAAAGAAAATAATTCCAGCAAAATAGTGTCATTAGAGCGATTACCATGAATACCTACCGTTTGGATCAAATGCTTGTCCTCCTGCCCCACTCCCTGCCATCTGTCCAGTACCCGCAGCGTCCATGGGAACAGCTGATAATCCATCCAGACCAAGACCCCCTAAGTCATTTGCTTGTGGGTCAAAATTTCCTCGAAATCCACCCTCTAGTCCAATAATACCCGAGTGGCCTTTGCCTGGTGTTCCGCTGGCTGATAAAGCATCAAGACCCATACCCCCGAGAGCTCCGTTTTGCAATTCAGGAGTTCCACTAAAAGCATCCATTCCAATACCACCTAACGCACCAATGCCAGAGTCCATATTTCCGGGGCCTCCTAAACCTCCAGGTAGACCACCTGCGTTAGGACCATTCATAATTCCTCCCGAGGGACCGTCAACTAAAATACCTATAGGGGGCAATTGACTCTCGGGCATACCACCCCCTTGAATGCTGCCTGGAGCAGTATCAATTATTCCTCCGTCAAATATTGCACCATTTCCGGATAAAGCACCACCTCTTCCGCCGACGGCAGATCCTCCTAGAAACATGGCTGGGTCAACCATTTCTCCAGGTAGTGGTCCGGCCGACTGAATTCCGGTTGGAAATGACCCTGGTCCAGGTAAGGGTCCATTCACACCCATATTTTGTCCTTTTTTGCTTGATTTTCCGGCTTTATTTTTATCTTTTGAACCACCTTTCTTAATGACGTCCACTTTTATGTCCACAGTTTCTGTCACTTTCTTGGGTTTCTTACTCCCTTTCTGTGATTTTGATCTCCCTTGTCCTGTTCCTACATCCATTATCGGATCCATAGGACCGCCGACTAAGCCCCCAAGTTCCATAAGAGCCGTTGGATCTAATCCCACAGGCCCTAGATCTGGGGCTTCCATAGCAATTAGCCCTCCGCTTCCGGCTACTCCAAGACTCGGATCAATAAGTTGTGGTCCGTTCAATTCCGGAATCGAATCCATCAGAGATGATTCAGGTTCAATTAAATTAGGAATGCCCTGAGATCCATCAAGGGGAAAATCTAAACGATCTATGGCTTGTAACTGGGAAAAATCTAGCGGTATGGACTGATCTAAGCCTGCTCCCCCAGCGCCGAGGGAAGTGTCAAGTTGTCCTGGAACGTTACTTGCAAATAGACGGAAATCTCTATCAGTACCTGCTACATCATTTGATATTCCCATCCCAAGGTCTGTGGAAAATCCATCTAAATTATTTCCGAATCCTACTCCTCCACCAAGTCCTAATTCAGTTCCAATTCCTAATCCTCCGTCCAGTCCCAATCCCTCCCCGATTCCTGCTCCCCCGCCAACTCCCCCGCTTCCAATTCCTGTTACCCCGCCAACACCTAATCCACCTCCAATTCCTGCTCCCCCACCAACATCTAATCCATCCCCAAT